TTTTGGGTTTTTTTTCGATTTTTTTGGATTTTTTTCGTTTTTTCTGAATTTTTCTCCCTTTTTTTTAACGAAATTTAACGGACAGCTGATAAAAATTAACGAACCGGACTTAACGGACCGGATGGCATCTTTGAGTGGCCACCTCTACAATGCAACCCACTCTATAACACATATACTAAAGGTGCCCATACACTCAATGGCAATGTAGAAATATTTCAGCTGCGAGCGCGACCTCAACATAACACTTGTCTCTAAATCGGATGGCATCTCCCACAACAACCAAGTTGATGCTCACAAAAGTCCCATCACATGAGAAACAATTCTGTGAATTCTGAAACACATTTTTCTTTTCCTTTTCTACATTCAGAATGCCTTGCATAGAAACCATATTCTTGACATGCATACAAGTCGCACACCATAATGCATAAGTGATCCACCCAGTGAAACGGTGGTCATTATGCAGTGTTGCGAACAAGAGGTCATTGGTTGATCCAGAACGAGTACCATTAGAGCAAAGATGGCAGTCCATTTGCGGTAACTTGAACATATGCCTTTTCAATCAGACTCATGCGTGTATGGCACAACATGAGTTGCTTCTAAAGGAAACATGTTGTCTCTACATTCTTGCCTCATCACCGTGCTTTTGGTAATGATACAGAGTTCATGTTCTAGAAGCCCGTACTACAAACTAATGACTGTGCTAAAGGACATATGTGGCGTGTTTTCTACTTGGCAATGCGCTGAGGGCGCATCTGAATGAGCTGCTTGATGGGTGTTTGTGATGAAGTGGATCCTGGGGATACAAACAGGTGGTTGTGAGACTGGAAAAAAGTGGGTAGTGTTTCGTGCCACCGTCAGCAGGGCAAGTTGTGCTCGGACATCGAACCGGACAAGCAAATGTGCAAGCTCCAGCTCTGCCTGGGAGCATCGAAATAGGACAAGCCAATACAGTAGCTGCGCATTCTTGGCCATGCAACCAAGCCAAACTCACAAAGGCACATCATAATCACGACGGCCACGAGGATGGCACTGGACAGTACAGTGAGATGTGGCACAAAAGCACTCGAGAACACAGCCACCAACATGCACACAGACCACAAACAAAATCTTACAACCATGTGTGAAATGCAACAAGTTCCTACTGCCCAGGAACACATTTATGTCACTCACGACGTGGACCAAGCAATGCCCACGGTGCAGCCTTGAATCACGGTTGCCTCACACCATGGAAGCCCCCCCTCCCCCCAAGTGCGAAAGATTGGCGCTCGGTGCTGGGCGGAGCTTGGCCTGGCCTGTGACAAACGCCAAAACCAAGCAGCTTCCAAGCACCGTCGTCAGGAAAGATCCGACCGAACTGAATCCGGTCAAAGATGCCAAGGGAATAGGACGACAACCCGGTCTCGAACACCAGTGGCAATGAACTGACAATGACATCAGCAACAGTAGGGGGTTCTTGGAGCAGGGCCTGTGAGCACACTCGCAAAGCCCTCACACCGACGCTCGGACACTTATTTCCGCATGACAAGAACCCCTGCCTGTTATTGCTTCTTGGGCGAAATAAAAAAGAATTCAGATTTTCGCACACAAGTGCCAAATTGCTCGTTTCCAAGTGCTTGATGTTACTCACATCGATGCACCCGCCTTCTCGCCAACTGCCAGGACAACTCTCCATCGACATTCACATGCTTGAAGCCAACATCCACACCAAAGCCAGGGCCAGCCATAATACACTCTCATCCTCACAGCAACTCCGCCCCGCTCGGCTACTCGCGTACCATATCCTATACAATCCCGACGCCCAAATGCTGTGCTGCGCCCAAAAATTACCACACCGCACCATCAGATGTGAGTGCACCTGCCTCTGGCCCACCATCAAGTTGTCCAACCTCCTACTCCTGCCACTGTCTGCCACGTGCAGTACTCAACTGTGTATGTCTCTTGCGGCAACAGGTGGGCCAAATGCGCAACAAGCCAATAGAGATACAGAGAGAAGTACATGTTGGTGCCCTTGGGGCCTTTAGCGGCAGCTGTCCCCTCCCATGTCGATCTTCAAGAAATTGCACAGCACCACCCGCAGCATGCTTGCTGCAGTTTAGCGACTGGACTTGCCAAAGATCTTCATGATGCCTTTCTGCTTCTTGCCTTCAAATGGCGACTGCCTACCACTATCATTGACACCCCTGCAGAAGCACAGAATATGCCACAAGCTGCTGAGCGAAAGCATACAAGACTAGTTCATGCAGGATGCAAAGAGAGGCGGACAACTGGAAATGTGCCCTCTTTTAAATATCTGCAATGCAACCAGGGAGCACCACAAAGCACCGAGAAGGCCGGGAGGCCCGAACCAGCGATGTCGCAAGGCATCACAATGATATCCAGGGGCTCGAGAGCCTCGCTCCCTCCCCAACGAACTGACATGGCACGTGTGCAACCAAACTGCCAGTGTCTGATCTTGGACATGAGAATGCACTGCTATCAGCCACCAACTCATGCGGTGGTATGTCTTCTAGCTTGTGGATTTCTCTAAGAAGAAAGGGGCAACATACAACAGGATTCCACGAGTCCTCACCTAAACAGCTCCTCGACACTGGAGCCACCAAGCGCTCTGGCATACTTCCCATTCTGCCGCAGAGCCACAGCTGTTAAAGAAAGATCGCAGAGTTCTGTACTGCGTGCCTGAAAGGCACAATGGCAAGTTCGCGCACTGAAGTGGGCAATATGATATGGCTGCCTTCATTGACAGCACTGCAGCCACACCAGCAGATGACATTGCAAGCTATTCATATCCACAAGTGAGGTACTGTCAGAGTGCTCTACTCATGACAGAACAGCCCAAACTACTGCCGATGTGCCAATAGAGCAAGAGCATTTCAGTCCCAGATCCTGACATCCAGATCCTACAGTAGTACAAGCTTTACTGCTGCTGCCACGATAGAAAGCTGTGGTATGCTACAACACAAAGGGCAGTAGAGACACGGGTCTGCAGAGATGCAAAGTGATGACTTCTGCAACTGCAATCGGAGCTTCAGCCTGCTCCATAGACAATGGAAGCTACAAAATGCAACAAAATGGAGACAAGCATTCTGCATCAGCACAGGAGTAAAGACACATCATACAGCAATGCGACAATATGAGCACACCAGCATGTTGAATCTGGAGACAGCCATGCACGCTCGACAGCTTTGCAGCTCTGAAACACAGCAGCATGCCAAACCCACCTTGTTTTTTGCCCATGGGTTTGCATTGCTGCCCAACAAGGTCGACACCACATCAAGATTCTGACGCATGCATGCCACATGCAGGGCTGTGTTTCCCCACTGCATTGCATCCACAATAAATAGTCAAAAGCAAACACATTATGAAGAGCACCTGGCAACAATTCATGAGCTCAACTTACGCTTCAGTTGCTGACATACGCATCAAATGATGTTGACAACAACTCTGACTGCTGTGTGCAAAAGCCACGGAAGCAAGAGACGCATACAGATACGTCCTGGTACTCACATTGTTCTTGAGGCTATGATCTGCACCATGGGACAGAAGCAAGCCCACCACATCAACATGGTTGTGGTATGCAGCAAGATGAAGTGGCGCTTCACCCCCCTGTCAGAACAAAGCACCTCATGGTAGTTAGTTCACAAAGTTAGTTCATGGCAGGAAAAGAAATGCAGCAGAGCTGCAGCATAGGTAAAATGAGCACCCAGAACCTGGGTAATGTGTCCACAGCGTTTCCAACATTCCTGCCGCTGCACAGATCTGCGTTTGTGTGCATTTTCAAAATGTGGACCTGCTTCTCCAGCAACATCTAGTGCAGAACAACGCAGTACACAAAGCAAGAAACAAACAGGAGTAGCTAGTCTACAAGCTGCTACACCAACAATGTTTCCAGATAGTGTCAGCAGATAAACAGCACTGGCAAAGAGCCAACTTTCACGACTGCGCAGTCTTACAATATCTTGGATGGATGGATTGGCACCAGCTTGGAGGATCATGCGCACAATTTCCACTCTTCCTTCTCGGGCAGCATCGTGCAGAGCAGTCCACCCCAGCTGCAGCAAAGGAGCACACACTCCATCATCACATGAAAACAGGCGTTAATAAACGGCACCACTGCAGAATCAGCAAATTAAAGCATCAGGCACAGATGACAGCATCTCTTAGAAACTGTGATACATTCCCGCATAGCACCTTTTGTTGGTGCCTGGCAGACAAGAGCAGGAGTTACAGTTCAGCAGCGAAGCCCACAACTGCAGCTGAGAGTAGGCAGCTCATTTGCCAGCATTCAAGCCTAAAAGTCAAGACACAAGACGGGAAATGCCACAATGAAGGGCCTACAGGTGCACTTCTGCCAGCAAGTGAATGCCCCCATTGGGTTGTTGTGTACACCATGCAAGACTTCGTAATTTGTCAGGCACCTTGATGCCAGAACAGACACTAATAGAAAAGTAACAGACACAAACTCGTCACCCTCAGCACACCCTCCTCACCTTGTCGATAGTGTTAATATTTTCAACATCAGCAACCAGCACTTGCAAAAAGCAGATACAGAGCGTCCCCTGTTATTACATATTCCACACACCTCATGTCACTGGACATCTGCAAGTGGCCAGAAATATCTGCAGAAAAAATGCAAGCTGCCCCCAGAGCAACTCTCCAAAGATGGTTTCTGGAAAGCCTAACCAAACAGCATTTAGTAATGCACCAATCTGGTGCAAGCAGGGCCCCAGCAACAATACAAACCACATGAGCCATGTTCTACAGCATGCCCTAATATTCACTAACTACTTTGAGAACTGCTGCCAAAATCTGCTTGTTGACCACCCACTGAAGTCACGAGACTCTGAATCTGTGTCAGCAAATGGATTGGAAGCCAACAGAAAAGCTGTGTGATTACAAGTTGCAGAGGAACAATCTGATAGTGGATCCCCTTCCCACCCCAACATCCCACTACCACAAGAATAAACAATACCGACATGCCAACAAAACACTTCCTGGCTCACATCTTGATTGCGCTTCAGCTCAATCTCCTTGCCTCTGATCCATTCCTCGGTAGTTGCCGACATCTGAATGGAACAAACAACACGAAGAATGATAAGTGCACCACTGCAAAAACCGGCCCAGCACACAAAATTTATGAAGGTCGTCCAACAATTACTTCCAAGGCAACTTGGCTCTCCCCACTTTTCTGCACCTGCAATTTGGTCAGAGGGTGGTTTCAGAATTCCAGAGCAGAGCTGGGCTAATTCTATCTTCAGTTCTTATCCATGAGACGATCAGCACTTGTTCCATGAGTGTTCCCGTCTGCCTGCATGGGATCTGGCCATGGGGTTGTTGCAGTGGCTGCAGACTATACAATCGAGAAATTGAGAGCACTGGCACCTCCTGTTATTTATGAATGCCAATCAGGAGACTTTGCTGAAGCCCACCAGTGGGCCTGCATGTGACAAAACTATAAACACAGTAGTGGGCGGCTGAGATGCTGGTGCCCATGGCTCTCTACGGGGTGCATTCTGCAGGATGTTTATGTGAGCGAGGCCACAAGAGTGAAGCCAATGACAGCGAATATGAGAATGACATTGGTGTTCCAAAACAGGGAAATGAGTTCCATGCCTGTGGCCCTTGTAATGACAAGGAGAACCCTTTCCCACCAAGTGTACCCAGCTCACTGGTATATCTGAATAGTGCTCTATTCAATAGCCAGACTGCGTGCTGACGAAGACGAGTTCCACACAACACACATGGAGGATCACCACACCAATGACATACAGTGGAGGGCAGGATCCGTTGCACAGCATTTTGGGGTAGTGCCACGTGTGTTCCCCGCACATGGCTCTAAGGGAAAACAATATCAGTGCATGCCTTTTGTAAATCATCACAACCAGTACAGATCCTGTATTTTAACTTAGCACACAAACTGCTCAATGTAGGCCAACACAAGCAGAACAACAATAGGAAGACACTATAGGAATGATTGCTCTTCAAGCACAAGAACACGCTGCAGAGCTTAGCTTTGGGGCTTGGATGACCTTTGACATAACACAAATTCCAAGAGTATTAACAGGACAAGACCTCAAGATGCTCACTGAGGAATAGAATAGAGATGAACCCCGTGAGCCCCTTGAACTGTTATCTCTTGAATTCGGGTCCCGTGCACTGAAATCCCTTGAATTGGCATCTCTGAACTCCCTCGAGTTGGGCTCCCTGAACTCCCTTGAAGAAGACTCCCGGTGCTCCCGGTACTCCCTTGAAACAGGATCTCGGTACTCCCTTGAAACGGGCTCTCGGTACTCCCTTGAAATGGGATCTCGGTACTCCCTTGAAACAGGATCCCGGTACTCTCTTGAAAGGGGATCCCGGTACTCCCTTGAAGGGGGATCCCGGTACTCCCTTGAAGGCGGGTCCCTACCACCTGGATCCCTTGAATAGCCCTAGAAGGCCAACACAACCTTGTCAGTGCCAGAACCAAGCAATGCTAGATCAACAGTACGGGATGCCAAATGCAAGCTGCTCACAGCCTGTCAAGACAGCTCATGGAGGCACCCTTCCTGAAGTGAGGCTGCCTTGCAGTGTAAACAAGGAGACAACCCCATGAGCATGCTATGGCGTCTGTCCTTCAGAGACGCTGCCCAGCGCAGCCTCATCAAAACTATGGGATTGTTAAAAAGCACTGTCTCATAAGAGTTGCCTTGTCAGTGCCAGTGAGGACTGTAGCAGTGAACATTCTGCCACCATGCACTGCAACATTATGCACAGATGTCAAATTTCAATCCGTACATGGCAAGGCATTTCACCACGCTGGCGGCGTTGGGCAGTGCACAGATGTGGCGATGAGCGCTGTGCAACATTTTGCAGCAGCAGTGTGCAATCCTAAGTACACAAGATGCGCATATGGAAGTGTTTTCATACCAGGAACACTACCCAAATGCAACAATACTTGCAGAAAAATTGAAATCCATTCCCCAAAGTCCAAATCCACAGGTGCAGAAAGAATCGACAAGCTGCCACAATAGCCAGAAACCGGACTTTAAAATGCCATTGCTCTTCAACAGGATTTAGAATGCTGCCCATGCGGACACAGCCAGCACACGCACTATGGTGTGCTGACCAAGAAAGTGAACCTTGATGGCACAAAGTGTGTTTTCAGCAGCTACATTTCAAAGGCTGTACTCACATCTCTGCCGCCATGAGGCCTCCTTCCTCCTGCGACAGGAACAGGGGGCCTCTGCACACCAAAAGAATTCTAAGCACTCTCCAGGCCCCTGCCAACACATTGTGAGCGTAGATGACAATCCATGTTCCAATGAAGCTAGGCACAAAGATAGAACACTGCACAATTGCTGTATTATCTCTGCCCATAGCACACCCTGGTGTGGCTGCAACAACCTGCACACAAAGCATGCAATACATACTGTGTTTCATTATCAAAAAACCCATGAGCATCATGCGAGTTTTCAGTGCGCAGGCACAGCTCCTCTGCTGTACTTCCTGCTCATACCGGCTGACTCCCCAGCCCGTGGAGACCTCGTGCATGCCAAACAACAACCAGGAGCCATATCCAACTTGTGTTCCTTGATGACCACACACAACCATACCTGTTCACGTGTGGAAACCATGTAGGAAGGGTGATGCTCATAACCATCGTGATTTGTGTACAGGCTGGACATGTCATAGTGCTGGGCGCTCCGAATGCCATCAGGCACATTGTATGAGTCCGACCCTGACATGTTGTGCGTCTCCTGAACCAGAAAAGTGCGCAGTCAGTGCCCAGATCTCATATCAAAACCCTGGAACGTGCTGTACTAAACCCAGTACAATAGTTGACACCAACAGCAACAATGGAATGAAGACCTGAGTTAGGGCATGGTCAGTAATCAGTGCCAAACGCATATGATACCACAAAAGGGGCACTGAGTTGAGTAGGCCATGGCGCTCAAGATCACATACCCTGTGGTGGTACGAAGGTGAAGGAGTCCTTCTGGCTGCGGGGCTGGGAGGGGCTTGTGGGGCACTCTCTGTTTGCTGCTACAAAGCACAGGTAGTACAGTTCTCTCTCAGCATCAATTCACAAAGCGATGGTCTTCAAGCAACGTGGCTTTTGGTCAACCAATGCTGAATCAAAATGTGCACCCCTGCTTGGTACATTCCCAAGAAACTGGCAGTGCTGTAGTTGAACAGTGTTTCGATACCCCTTGTACTTGAACTGAATGTGCCATGCTCTCCTTGGAGCTCACCAGAGGCATGGAACGGTAGCCTCAAAACTTGCCTCAGGATTTAGTGTGCCTGCTGCATCTGAAAGCCAAAGTCTTCTTGTACTGCACAGTCATGAACTCTCTAAGGCAGGACTCCAAACCAGTGTCAAGGGAGGCAGACAAATACAATATGAAGCCACAAACATCAAAACGTCACAGATGATAGGCAGCTGGAAGGTGAAAGTGTAGTGTCTGCGTACCCGCTGCCTAGAGAACCGTGAGAACCACTTCGAGGCACTGGAGGAGCCAACGGGCAGGTGCCTTTGGGCTCTAGAGACGCTGGAGGTCCCTACAGGCCCTTGCCTTTCAGCTCTAGGGGCACTGTAGGAACCCACAGGTCCTTGTCTTTGGGCTCTAGAGCCATGCGTCTCTAAATCCGAAAGGGGATCCACCTTGGCCACAGGCTCGTCCTCCAAATATCCACCCCTTGAGGGCTTCGAGCTTGCCCCTTCCTGGCACTGGCATTTTGACAGTACCGAAATGAGCTGCATCTCAGGCTCATCTTCAGCAATGGCACGTGAGCCGGCACTGCAGAGTGAGCAGTGGCCATCTGCGGTCGATGCACTACAACAGATGGCCAGACAGCATGCAGGGTTCGTCCAGCAGACAAGCCATGCACAGCATCTACAATGCAGAAGATTGTGGCTTGAATATGCCAGGCCTCGCATTCAGCAAGCCATGTCCTTCCCCACAGACCGGTTGCACCTGGTGGTCCCCCACCAAAAAGAAAAATACTGTCTCTCAGCACTCTCCGCCTTACATTCTTCTGCACTTGCACAAGAACTCAGAACTGCACTCACCTGTCGTGAGATTTCGTTGAGCTTGGTTGCGACGTACTTCATGTTAGGTCTGTCATGGGGGTCCGGAGTGATGCAGGCCCTCATCAACTTCAGCAACTCCTCGGGGCAGTCTTCTGGCACAACGCAGGGGTCCCTCTTTCTGCGCTTCCTCCCCAGCAGCACCTCAGGAGTAGCACCCCTGTATGGCAACATCTGAGCAGCCACCTCGAACATCACAACTCCGAAGCTGAAAACGTCGGAGTTGAAGGTGTGGAACTTGCCCTCGTGCACTTCAGGAGCCATCCACAGAGGGGAGCCCAGCTGCCTGCCCGTCTTGGACTGTGTCTCAGTCTTCATGTATGCCAACCCAAAGTCTGCCACCTTGACAGTGTAGGTTGCCGAATTGTTGCCAAATACCAGGAAGTTGAGGCTCTTGACGTCTCGGTGCACCACCCCCCTATCATGCACATACTCCAGGCCCTGAGCTGCCTGGGCCAGCAGCTTGGCCTTCAGGGTCCATGTCATCGACATCTCCTGCTGGTACACCACTGCCAAGTTGGATGTCGCCAACTCCATCAGCATCAAGCCAGTTCTGCTGACAGCATACAAACGAACCACGAATGGGTAGTTCATGCCCATCTGGATCTCCACCTCGGTGAAAAACGACGCAAGGGCCTCTTGGCTGAGGTGCCTCTCACTGTCGGCAAGCTTCTTGACTGCCACGTCGATGTCTCGCCACCTTGCGGAGAAAACTTGCGAGTTTCCACCAGAGCCTATGGGTTTGCCCCAATGGATCTTGTCTCTCTCGCTGTCGCCGATCAGCAGTAGGCGCTCCATTCGCCCCTCATGCTCAGTCTTCAGGCCCTCCCATTCTTTGCGGGTGGCCTCATCGAGCTGCAGACCACTCTGCTTGCCATCCAAGATGTATGCAAGGTACCAGTACATGTACGTCCTGTCCTCCTTTGCCCTCGCCTCCTCCAGGTGGTACTTTATGTTTACCCGTCCCTGAGGAAGCCATCCGTCCATGGTGAGCTCCTCCACACAATTCCTCAGTCCCCCACAAAGGTCCTTCACGCCTTCCTCCACCGTTGCAACTTTGTAGAACTTCTGCAGATCGAATGGCTCTGCGTGTCTCCTGATGAGCAGTTCCCCGCGCTCAATCACCTTGTACAGATTCCTCCACGGGCTTGGGGCCCCTTCAGCCTGCTTGCGCAGCCTTTTTTTCTGCACAATATTTTCGAGGTGCTCCAGCTTCTGCATTTGCAGCATCAAGAACTCCAACATCTTGTGATTGTAGCGCACAGATGGGAAGTTCTCCCTCGCCATCTCAATCAAGTTGTTGATATCATCGAGCTCTGCCATCGCACTGCAGTGCAATTGTTTCCAAATGTCACCATGCCCAGCCCAACTACAGTCAACTGCAGCGGAAGTTGTTTTAGGCACAACTAGCATGTGGTGGATTACAATAAACAACACAACCCCACAAATCATACTCTACTACATGCTCAAGTGAATGTTGCACCACACAGGTGTAGCAAGCAAGGCAGTTCTGCATGCCGAAGCCAGGGCTGCATGCAATGCAACTACTGAAAGTACACATCATGACTCAGCATTTCTTAGTTGCTGTGTCTTCTGCCTTAGCTCCAATGCTTTCAGTCATGTGGCATAAGAAACGAACTGTCACATTCGCAAAATCCCTGTGCACTCTGGTGTGATCAGCACGGAAGGAGCTTTACACAGTCACGATACATGGTGACAAGTGCGGGTGCAGCAACGTAGAGATTTGCCAAAGAAGGCAACAGATCGCAGAAGGATCACTAAGGATGGCATATCTCAGCTTTGCGGTTGCGTGATAACCCTCCCACTGTCCATAACGACCCAAAAAAAGGCACAGACGCAACAAAAAACGCCAAATGCTGCAGAGTTATGCATTCATATCCTGTGGCTTGCCATGGAGCTTATTACAGCCACACAGCCTGCCATCCCCAGCACCCAATGCACAACAACACACAGCAACAGCAGAATTTCAATGGGATACTATTGCCATCGTTGCTTGGTGTGAGACACCACGTCACCCTGCCGTTAGTGAGTGCTATTCCATGCGCCTCTCTGAGGTAAGGACCTGGACTGGCGACTGGTCCACACAATGTCCTCTCCAATGGAAACTTTTCCTGAAGCAGAGGGTCACCGTGAGAATGTAGCGCAACAAGATCCAGGATCTAAACGTGCGACCAGGACGTGGCCGCAACCCTGCATCTCACAGAGATGCGAAACGAGGCCAACAATGGCCATCCAGGTGGGCCACCCATAAGGCCGCAAGCAGGCAAATAGTGCCCACCGCTTGTGAGTCGGACCCTGCTCTGCAGCTCGATTAGGGGGCCTCTTCTGTGCGGCTCCGGCACTGCAGAGGCGCCCGGTGACAGAGATTCACGTGCTGCAGTCCGCACAGACCAACGCAAACACATCGAGGTTCAATGGCCTCGTGCACCACATGTCGATTGATGGCAGGGGCGTCCACTGACAGAACATTGTCCACGACGGAACAGTGCGCTGCACGTTCCCGCTGTACAGTGCATGGGAAGCGCACGTGGTGTTGGTGGGCACCGACCAACGTCATCATCCAGCGACCTTGGGACTCCCCGATCTTAGGTCTGATTGACATGCCCCTAATTCAGCCCCTCGTCCAAGGCACGTGCCTGGTCTCTCCGCCCCCCCAGCTCCGGACGCCTTCCCAGCGGGCACCCGCCTTCAGGGCACGATTGGAACCTTCCTCGACAAACCGGGGCGACGCGCGCCGCTGGACACAGCGCTCCCAGCACGCCCCGAGCACGCCAGACGAGCGGGACCTCGTTCACAGCCCCGCGCTTCCGCAACAAAAGTCATCCTTACAGGGTGTCCACGCGCGCGGCCAGCCCTCCAAGGTCACCCCCAACTTCGGACCCATAAGTAGTGCCAGTTCCCTCCAGCGCTAACCAGCGCACGCGGCAAACGTGAGCCGCCGCCATTTGCGCGGCACGTCCGGAACAATAAATGGTGCCCGCTCTGGAGCACCACTGTTCCAATGCCAGCGCCTCCATCGGAGAAGCAGCGGAGGGCGCCGCCCACGGCGGGCGCCTCGCAGGCCTCTGGGGGGCCAGGAAGAGAGCCTCACACCGGCCCCGCCCCTGCCTGAGCCCGTGCAAGCGATGCGCCCGCTCCACGACCGGGCCCTCCCCACCGGCTCTGGGTGCCGGGTCCGAAGCTGCCAACCCAAACGACCTGCCGGCGCCACCGATCCCGCCGCAGTCGCAAATCTCCAGCGCGGCTCGCCGGGGGCACGTTCCCGGCGGCGCCGGACCCCCCCCCGCGGCCATCGATCCGCCAGCGGGCCCGGCGCGACGACCGACCGCGCCCACGCCGACCGGCCCAAGGGCGATCACCTGAATCCGGCCGCTCAGCGGGCACCTCTCGATTGCCTCCCACCCCGCGCTCCACGCTCCCGAGACCGGGCAGTCCGCCAAAATCTCCCCCTCCCGCCTGCCCGGGCGACTTTGCTCTTCCTCAACAAGGCACGGGGCTGGCACCCATGCCTACGGGCGCCCCTGCGGCCACCCCTCTGCTTTGCTTCCGGTGCTCGGGTCCACGGTGGGCCGCGCGGGCATGAGGCGGTCGAGGGCGGGGCTCCAAAGAGTGGCGCCGCGCCCTGGCCGGGGGGCGGCGGGCCAGGGGGGCAATACTGTCGGGGCGGCGCTGACGCCGGCGCTGGCGCGGGGCCCCAGATGCCTCCGGAGCTCAAATCGGCCGGTTCTCCCGCTTCAAGACAACCGTGGGCGAGTCAGGAGAATGAACGGTTTGATAGGGGGAGCGGTGGGCGTGGCCCCTGCGACCGCCCGTGCATTGGGCGGAGCCAGGGGGGGGCTGGGCCAGCGCACGTGTACCGGATCCCGGGGCCTGTACTTTGAGGTCGTTTTCTTGGGAGACCTCATCAGCGTGGCTGGGGCTGGCGACTGGATGTCCTCAAGCTGGGTTGGTATTTGGCATTTGACGCCCACGAGCCAATTTTCCTGCTCTTCATGTGCAACGGCGGAACCAATCAGGGGTGGGTGTACGCCACTCAGAAGCAAAAGCTGACGTGTCCACAACCACAGGGTCCCCAAGCGGAAACGTGGACGTCTGCCGCACGTATGGCTTTTGGAAACGGGCACGTGAACGGCCCAGCGTGTTCGAGTTTCAAAAACCGGAAACGTGGACGTGAATTGAACGTTTCAGTGATGGAAACGGCAACACGAACGTTTGGCAAACTTTGCGTTTCCAAAACTTTGATGACAAGGGACCGGCGGGTGGGCATCGTCGAAGTACTGCAAAGCTCTTCATGTTTGCGTATTGTTCAGATTACCGGTAATTGACCACTAAACTGGCTCCGCCAATTACCGATTTGCAATCCGATGTTGAAATTCAGTGATGACAACTAAGAATATCTCATTTCAGGGCATGCCATCAACAATATGATTCAATGGCTGCCGCTTTCTCTCGAGATTTCATTGGCAACGTTCTAGTCTACATAGCTGGAGGTCGGTGGCTATACACCGATGTGCTGTGAAACCCAATGAAAAAAGCGAAAACATAACTGGGAGACACATAACAGCGGTGAGAGTGTGACACCAAGAAAGCCACGGTGATCAGCTAGTCATGTACTTGTTGACAAATGATTCATTCGTCCACGAGTTCGAGATTTTGGGAGGACGGCTGCCCAACGATTAGCTTCAATTTTACCAATTCCGGTGCTGCAATTGCAGCTGTGGGTCAGTGCTGTGGGGCAGCGTGTTGTGCGTGTATGAATTGTGAGTTCAATTGCCGTTCTGAATGCAAAAATTGTTATGCGAAAATGGAGGCATACTCTAGTATTTAAAGAGGACCCGATTCTTATTCCTGGATGCTCTTGGTTTGGTGAGTTGAGGCTTGGCTGCTTGTCGGACCAAGCACGGCGAATGCGTTTGAGCACCGCGTGCACCAAGGTTGCCACCGAGGTCGAACCAAAACGTTGGACCCGTGTTGTGACCCATCGCTGCGCGCATTCGACTGTGACAGCAACATCTCGGACCGGGGCGGCTAATGAACTTTGACAATATTCCTCAGCAGCGATAGGCAACGGCACTCAACCAACCGCTCTACAAGCTGCTTGGAGCCAGGGGTGGGCGTATGCAACTCGAACAGAAAATGCAGATGCGCACACCGCGTTTGGGTTTCCAAAACGGGAACGCGAGCATGTGTGGTACGTCTGTCTTTTCGAAACGGAAGCGCAAGCGTGCCAATCGCGTTCTTTGACGTTTCTGTTTGCACGGAACGTGAACATGAAAAATGCGTTAGTTTGTCCCCGCCACTGGGCAATAATGATGTTTCCCTGCTCGGGAAAGCGAAATGTCTCCGCTGCGCCTGCCACTTGTTCAGCCCAAGCCAAGTTACGTGTGATCTCCCGCTAATGCAGCAGCTGCTCGTATTAAGATATTGTGGACGCCGTTCTCCGCCAGGAAATCTGCAAGCAGGCTTCGTGGCACCCAATGTGCGCTATGAGGTTTCAACCTGTTAATTCTGTCATGGCACAAATCTGCCATGTCGCCCGTGTTAACCTTCTCCACCAGGAATCCAATCGGGGTTCTAGCAGGATACAGTTCGTGCAGCGATGCCGTCTGCGGGGCCCAGCACTCCGGCACACAGGATCAACCGCAGAATCGAAAACCCAAGCTGAGAAGCTGCAGCTAGCGAGTGGACAACTTGAGCCCATTTAGGTTTGGGGAGATGCACATCAATCCTTCAAAATTTCAGCTGCCGGCAATCTCCACATTTGTTGGTCATGGGCTGTGACCAGGCTTGGTTTTTACGCCGTAAAAACTGATCGTATTTACGTTTTTACGCGTAAAAACAGTTTTTACGTTTTTACGCGTAAAAATGCGTAAAAATACGTAAATACAACGTAAAAACTGCCTGGTGTACATAAGGACAGTACATACAGACTTACGCAGTCCGGAGAGTGGCAGCCAGACGCCCTGAAAGGGGCAGGAAACGAGTTCTTGTCAAACACCATCATCGCCCTTGCCAAGTGCGAGGCGGACACTGTGTTGCGGGTGCTGGATATGGCGCAAGACTGATCATTGTACGAAACTTTCATCAGGTAATATGGGCGTCCAAGGGAGCCGTAAAAACGTAAAAATAGCCGTAAAAATAGGGTCTTTTGCAAATTTACGTTTTTACGCGTAAAAACGTAAAAGTAAAAACGTAAACGTAAACGTAAAAACCAAGCCTGGCTGTGACCAAGGCTGGGGATGTGCGAGGATTGCCATTGTGTTCGCGACACCACATAAATACCACCGTTTCACCGTGAAACTTTCACTGGATGCATCACTTACGGTGTACGATTTATGTGTGCTTCATGAGTATGGTTAACATGCGAGGTGTTCTGTATCTCTGGAAAGAAAAGGAAAATGTGCCTTAGGATTCACAGAATTACTTGTCTTATGATGGGACTTTTTTGAGCATCTATTTGATTGCTGTGGGAGATACCATATGACTCAGAGACAACTGCCGTGATTAGGGTATCTGGTTCCAGCACTTCGACCATTTTCTAATGGCACTTGCAGTTGAAATACTTCTGCATTACCATTGAGTGCGTGGGCGGCTATGCCATATGTGTCATGCAGCCCATATGGAGTGGGCTGCATTGTGGCCAGGCTTGGTTTCTACGCCGTAAAAACTGATCGTATTTACGTTTTTACGCGTAAAAATAGTTTTTACGTTTTTACGCGTAAAAATGCGTAAAATACGTAAATACAACGTAAAAATTGCCTGGTGTACATAAGGACAGTACATACAGATTTACAGAGTCCGGAGAGTGGCAGTCAGACGCTTTGAAAGAGGCAGAAGACGAGTTTTTTTATGCGCCATTATCGCCCTTACCAAGGGCGAGGCGGACATTGTGTTGCGGTTGCTGGAGATGGCGGAGGACTGATCATTGTACACAACTTTTGCCGTGTAATCTACGTGTGCCGGGGAGCCGTAAAAACGTAAAAATGGCCGTAAAAATAGGGCCTTTTGCAAATTTACGTTTTTACGCGTAAAAACGTAAAAGTAAAACGTAAACGTAAACGTAAACGTAAAAACCAAGCCTGATTGTGGCGATGAATGGGCGCCTTTGAAGAGGGGTATGGGCGGTTGGTGATGGCTAATAATCCTTGTCTCGTGAAAGGGAGAAATCTGTGGGTGCGAAGATATTCGAACTGTTTGGGGTCGTTGGTCGCGGGGGTCGTTGTCACCATATGTGCTGTGGGAAAGGCGAACAAATACCTACAGTGTACCAACCCTGGGCGTTTCGTATGTGGGTTTGGCCCAAGGATGGCCGTGGCGGACTCCAAGGGAGCAGCGCGATCACTGGCATCCCCACCAAGCGCACTCCAAGGATGGCTTCAATACTCATGCCTTCAACAATTGGATGTTGAAACATCGCATGTGCTGCGATGAGCAGCCACGGTCAGCACAATCTCTCGTCGTTCTGCTGGCACAGTCGCAAATATGCAAGGAGAAACCCCAGGGTTTTCAGAGCAGGGCCTGCTCCGAAACTGCGGCGGATCCTCATGGTGCTGTCGTCCTCACTCCACGATCATCGCCCACTTTTGTCCCATGATCATCACCGTGAGGGACTTCACCAGCGGCAAGCGTGATGCTGTCCGCTCTTGGGATCGCAAGGCTGCCGAGGTCTGTTGCAACGCAAGGCATCGAACGCGGGGCCGAAGTGGGTGATGGCTACTCAGCCTCATTTTAGTGATTTGCAAATGTGGCCCGGAGGCCAGCATTTGCAATGCATTTCGCTGGCGGCTGTGCATCATATTCGCTCATCCAACAGCCATTGGATGCAGCAAGCAATCGGAGGCGAGGGACACAAATGGATCCTCCGCAGTGAAGCACGTGTGTCCGCTCTGTTGCTAATGCAGCCAAATAGCAGCGTTCATCCGCAATGTACACTGGTCCCCTGAGATGGGCGTGCGCGGTCCAGCATAAGGCAACGCAATCCAGACACACAAACGGCAAAGGGCACGCTGTTTACAAATCAACGACTGTTCAGTCAGACTGGCACGGATACATCCATGAGCTAGCCACCAACTGACCACCAAGTCAGTGAGCTTCCACCCAAACCCTTAGAAGGTGCTTGACATGCAATGGTGAGGAACGCGGAAAAACTCCAACCCGACGCCATGTTCGGGCGACAAGGAGAAGGCAATGCATTCCTTACTCCACCGTGTCCGTTTAATCTTGAAGAGCCAGGGCGCCTCGGAGCACCTAGAAATTGACATCAGCCAGAATCTCGCTGCCCCGGCGGCAGCCACCAACCCGCCTACCCACTTGCAGAGCCATAGCTCCCAAGACGGCGAACCTCGGCGCCAAATGAAGAGACGCCACTACCACGGACATACAGACACAAATCCATGTGCAGAAGTACTCTCCTGCTGGACACAGACCCACTTTCTTCCATAAGTGCCGATTGTCATCCTTCCCATTCGGGAGGAGGCAAATTGGACAAAAAAACGATGCAGAAGCATGCCAGGCATTCATTAGCTGCGCAGGTCGACGCGCACCAGGATGGTGCGCGACCCCACAGTCTCTAGAGAGAAAACGTCGAAGACGTTGAAGTTTCAACCTAGGGCCCAGGGTCCACATGTACACAAATCGCCTCGTCCCACCAACGAATTGTCAGCCGTTGCGAGAACGCACTGTGTAGAGATCCACAAAGGGACACCCCACAGTGTTGAGCCAATCCCGGGTTGCTAGGCAACCTCTCACAAAGAAAATAGTAATCATACAAAAACCGGATGGCGTCCCCCTGGGCTTGAGCAGCCGCTGCGACCCAAGAATTCAACTCTTGCCGGATGCAGTGTCAGCTCCCAAAGCGGGTCAACCCCGGTTGGCTTGATTTCCCATTACCAAGTCGCCAGTCTTCCCCCCACACATTATGCTCAATAGTATCAATTAAAAACGCCAAACTGGAAGTCGCGGAACCTCTTTTCGACCCGCACTGCCCACCAATGCATGAAGAGCTTGCAGGCATTCTGGGTCCTTCTGCACAACAGACTCCAGAAGTTCTGGGCGCCGGTATCCACAAGGCTCCTCAGCTGCACCTGCGGGAACACACGACAAGGCAGGAGTCAGCTCAGCAGAATACAGCACACAACATGGCACCCAAGAACCAAAGAGTCCACTCACACAAGGTACCCTTTCACAAACAGGCAGTATCAGCATAGGACACCCTCCACCCTTGCAGCACTGCAGCCGTGCCAGTGCCATCAGGCACCCACATACCTTTTGCTTCCAGGCAGGCGTACACCACACGCAGGTCTGCCCGTTTCCAGTGTTGTGGATGCACATTCCATGTTGAAGTCTGCCGCCGGCGCCCCTTGCTGGGCGCTCCATCGAAATCTGCAGAGTGCAGATCCCGCGGCCGTCATACTTCCTTGGCATGCCTCCCACACTGTACTGCATCATCGCTCTGGTGTCCGAGTGCCCAGTCCTGGGCAGACCCCGCTTGCTGCTTCCCCAAGCAGCCAGGTCGCAGCTGTTCAGGCGGTAGCCAGCGACCCTCAGAGCTTTGCAGTCAGTGCCCCAAAGGCCTGGCTCCCAGCCGGATGCACTGATGGTGTCGTTGTCCTCAGAGCTGTCCCCATCCTGCTCTCCCCCACTGCTCACGTCGTCTTTGTTCACATCGTCCTGTGAGATCGGGAGAGGGTTCTGGTCCAGCTGCACCTTCTGCAGAAGGCTGCTGGAGAACCATGGCATGTTCAGAGGGCTGTCCACATGGATGCAGGCATCCGTTGGCGCCCCCAGTAGCCTATGGGGTGTGTCAGGACGCAGCCCTGCCAGGGACAATCTCCTCACATCAGCGAAGCCTCGAGGAGGCCCCAGCATGAGGGCAGACCTCCGTGGCGAAAGGTTTGCGGTGAGCGCGGTGACCTCAAGTCCATCAGCCAGCACGAGGTCGGCAGCATTAGGCCTGATCCAGGACAGCTGTGGTGCAGCTGCCACCCGTCCTCTCAGCCCAGCAGGGGACCAAGGCGGTGGCAACACCATGGCAGTGCTGCCACCAACAATTCCCGAACCTGTGGCAGAAGACCAGCTGTCCAAGAACAACTTGTAATCTGTGATGATGATCCGCGACCATTCTTGAGGCCGCTGCCCCTGTGGAGCAATGTATTCCATTTCACTCAGGGCATAACCCCTCTTTGACGTTGGACAAGTGCCGCTGTCAGCACACCCGTCATGACTTTTCATTGAGCATCCAATGTGGCCAGCGCAGACGAGCGCCAGGTCCTTCTCTCCAGCATACCCACGAATCATTTCTGCACAGTTACTTCCCATGCACAATCCCACGTTCCAATCCTCAGCTTCCCGGCACTCCCACCCCTCAAAATGATTGAATGCTCCAACCCGCAGTGCTTCTTCGAATCCTTTGTCCACAGCGATAAAGATTTCACGGGGCAGGCAGAACGAATTCTGCCAATCGCAGGCCACAGTTTTAGCCGTTCCAAACGCATTGCTCACGGCAGGCGTCACAATGGCCACCTCTTCTGGTCCACCACACTTGCTCCTGTAGTCCATGACAGCCTCCATTACGTCACACTGGCAAGAGTGGTCACCGCACACAGATGCTGGTTGGTCATGCTGGCCATCCTCCTCACCCTGGCCAATCTCCTCAGCGCCCAGCAGTGGGGACCACCATCGCATGCAGTCCATCATATCGGGAGAGTTGGCTTCCTGCCTGCCCGCAAGGGCACATGCCTGGGGGTCGTCACGGTAGAGACTCACCAGTGCAGCGTCTCGCTCGACCAGGCAGGTCAGAGACTCGTCAGAGCTCACTGACACAAGGCCTCGAATGGGGTCATCGCCTGCAACAGCATCAGTGCCAGGCCCCCCAACAGAGGGACTGCTCTGGAAATCCAGACCTGCACACATGGCTGCAGCAATGGCTGAAGTACGAGCTGCGCCAGCCTCTTCAGCATCATACGACCATTCGGACCAAATGTCCTCGCCACTGGCATCATCATCGCTGTGGCTGGCCGCCTCCAAGACATCTGAGTCCCAATCTTCTGACAGGTCTTGATTAGAGTCGCTGTCGCCACCAGCAAACGAGACGCTTGCCACATCCATCTCCTGGCTGCTTGCTCTGCTGCAGGCCTTGACGATTCCTGGTGTTGGGTGCAGCGAAGCAGCAACATCCTTGCACCCTGCGCCCTGTGGCTGTGGTGCTGCTGTCCTGCTCCCAACAGAGCTTTGCATCGCATGGATGTCGTCCAAAAGCGACTGAAACTTCGACTTCAGCGATGAAAGCTCCACCGAGGTCTGCAAGTTGGTGTCAAGAGCAGACGATGTCGCACTCAACAGCTCATCCACCATCGACTGCACTTCTCCTGCCTTCCCTGGATAAGTCTCCTTACCGCCACCAGCATCTGCTGCTGTTCTTCGGTTCCCCATCCCCAACTGGCCACACTGCGAACCCATTGGCTCACATTCCTTCTGGCCCTTAGCTGCCAGCACAGGGTCTGCTAATAAGGCGTTTGGCTGGCTTGGGCACATGCCCTGCATCTTTACCACAGGGCCGCTGCCCTCGTCTGCCCTAGATTCACATTTGATGTCAAACACACCCGTCCGCTTGCCGTCAGGCTGCAAGCTGCAGTTTGTGTGAGGCTGCCCCGCCGCAGTAGACAGCTGACTCTGGCACACATCCTGAGCTGGCCCTGTGCTGCCCTGAGCACGACCCAAAGCGAGGCCGTCAGCTGGCACAGTGTCATGCCCATCAGGTGGTGCAAAGGTGCCTTCCACCTCAGAGCCATCTGCTGCCACTTCGGGTGCCTGCCCACTTATTAACCCCTGAGCACCCCGGCGAAGCAAGGCAAGCTGCCCACATGGCGAGCTCGTCGTCCTGTCGAACAGCGCCTTGGGGGCAGCCTCCACCGACACCTCTGCGCTGCCAAGCCTGTTTATTTTGTCCAAATGGTCCCTTATTAGGCCCCATTCAACTACCACGTCCCCCGCTCCAGGCTCCTGGCAGTCTGCCAATACTGTACAAGGCTCATCGCCTGACTGCAGCTGCGCCAGGAGGCCACCCGGAGCAGTTGCTCTGGTGCTGAGCTGCCCGTCCTTAAAGAAAAACCCAGCCACGTCCCCTGAGCGCCTCGAATATACTGCCCGCTCATCCCTGCGGGCCCCCCGAGGCACCGCATCTCTGCGTGCTGTTGTGGAAGACGAGACCAGAGCAGGCCGCCGCTGAGGCGCGGCAACTGTCTCTGTCCCTCCTTCAGAGATGGGCGGCGCAACAAACATGTCCCGATTCCGTCCAGATGGGTAGGGTTGTAGATTTACAGAAGCATGGTACTCTCCGTGGCACATCCCCAACTCACAGCGGGTACGTTGCTGTGCCCCGAACACCAGTGTAACTCAATCTGCAGGACGCTGGACTCCGCGAGGGGCCCAGCGCAGGCGACCCCGGACTGTGGTCCGGTTCAGTCCCCGCTCGCAAGGATGCTCTTCGGCCGCCTTCCGGCTTTCGAAATCCTGACAGATCGATTGGCAGACGGCGGCGCCCCAACCGGAGTCGGTTTCAAGGGGCAGCCGCGCGTAGCTGGAAAGAAACCTGCCGGCAGGCAAAAACGCACGGGGTCAGAAGCATGAGGCCGGGGGCCATGAGGCTTGGCAGCGGCATCCGACGGGGCATCGTCCGCGGGCACAAACGGCCCACGTTCCCTGAGGCGCGCCACGGCGCACAGCCGCCTCCGCGCGGCATCATTCCTCTTGGGGACAAAAAAACAGAACAAGGTACAAGGGCCCACGCAGCCAGCAGAGGTTCCCGCCCCCGGCCCACCCTGGGATGGAAATCTCTAGGATCAAAATTCCCCGCCTCACCAAACCCGTTCATCGGTGCAGGCCGGAGCTCAAGACAAGGCACAGCGCGCTGCCACGCGGGCAAACCGCGTAGGAGGGCGAGCATGAAGGGGTGCGCCGCCGCGATCTGGAGGCGCTCCCAAGCCTCCGCGACCATGATCACGCCTCTGTGAAAAAATCCCTGAACCATACGGCGGCATGTCCGCGGCGCTCAGTCCGTGCTGAAGTGATTCATGGGGCACAGCGGCCTAGGGGAAGGACAGACCGCAGATACATCGTTCGATCGGACACCAAGGACTTGTGCAGGACGCGCTATCGCGACGACAGCCGAGAACAGCGCCGACCCCAGCCGGTGTGCGTCGACCGCCGGTGCGTGGGCCCCAAAACTCACCGGCACGCCTCAGTGCGAAGCACCGGGTGGAGCGTGCTCCAGCCAAGGCTGGCGGCCGCGGATGGGCCGCCCTCCACCACATATACTCCTTGCTGGCAGTACTCAGCGAGGTAGGGTTACGCGGCATATTTTAATGGATCCCCAAAAGATCCAATTAGGCTGCTGGAATGGGAGGGTTGCGGGTTTTTTTTTATTACAATTTCGCAGTGGTGGACAGGAGTGGAAGTTGCCACTCCACGGTTGCTGGTGGCTGCACCGCTTTGCTCCAGTCGCGTCAGCGCTGACGACGACAGCGCCGCACAACGCAAGGCCAGGGTAGTCCTTCGCACCCCCTTTTGAAGAGCCCAACTTCTATTGGTCTACTTGGTGCTTCGTGCTGTGCAGTTCCCTCCAAAACGACAGCAGAAATTTCCAGGAGAAATGCAGGAGCCTCCGAGTGCAAGACTCGACAAATTTCTACAACAGCCTTCACAACGTCGAAAGGTACACCACCTTTTCTGCCCAGGCGGGCAAGTGTATATTTATGTGGCAAGTCTCCATTTCCCTTGCAAAGCACGGTTGAAGCAGAGAAGGCGCGATGCCGCAAGAGCTATGGGAAAGGTACCTTGTCGCGATGCACCTAGCCAGCGACTACAGTTGGAAATTGGTATCAGTCTTGGCGCGCTTGTTGTCGAGTCTCCTGATGCAAACCATGATGACGGGCACAACCTAAACCAACCGCTGAAAGAAAGCGAGGCGGGTAAGGGTACAGCCGTCTGAAATCGTGAGGCGACAGAACCAGGCTCGACGGCCACTCCGTTGCAAAACTGTCACTGGTCGCCAAAACCAGGCTCCCTGCCCGGAACATTTGCTAAATGTCCCGCGTCCTATGCCGACGGAAGGCCACCAAATAGCCATGCAACAGCGCCACCCAAATTGTCCGGGTGCCAATCAAAACTCGCCACGATGCATCCCGTCGGATCCTGGAGTTTTCCTGCTGACGGCGCCCATCCCCATGCGCCCTTCATTCGCCAATGAAAATGACGCCCTCGCATCGTTTATTCATGCATCACGTATCGGCGCCCGCCCGCGGACTCGAGAGGTGGACTCGAGCCGCGAACTCACCCCGAGGCCCACCAGGGCCTTACGCGCCTCCCTGTGCCGCCCCCGTCTCCGTGCGGCAGCTCAAAACGGACCGCACACGCGTCTGTGGACAATCGGTAAAGTCGGAGCTCCGCTGACGGCCAGTCACGCTTCTGATCGGCCGGACGCACCGACACGGAAAGGTGCAACGGCGACACCAAGAGGAGGCTGGGGAGCGTGATCGGAGGCCAGCGAACGCCGCCCTGCGCCACGGAACGCGGCGGGGCCCCCGCGGAAGGGCCGATCCGCCGCGGGCGCGACGCGGGAGGCGAAAAGCGGGCTGCCTCGCTGAGGGAGCCCGCGCCGCGAAGTTCATCGAGATGTGGGAGAGCCGGGCGCGGCCTCGCGCGCCGGCGTCGCGGCCCCGCGCACCTGTTGGAACGCGACTCCCCGTGTTACGCAGCGTATGCGCTAGTCGTAACGCGCGCGCCCGCTCGACTCCCGGAAAGCTGCCTCCGTTGAACGGACGTTTTGGCGCAAAGCGGGACCAACACTTTTTATCGTGCTGAGCGCCCAGCGCGCCCGGCACACGCCCTCTCACTCTCACCGGCGCATCACTTTGCGGCGTCTTGGTAGCCATCACGTGTGACAGCGATGCACGATATGTCCAATGTCGGGCGGGCAGCGTCGGGTACCTGGGAATATGCCATACGCGCCGCCTGTCCGCGATCAACGCGAAAGGGGTGCTGCTCAGCTTGCTTTGCCAGAGACGTTACTGCAAGCATGCCCTCATCGCACCGGGCGGAAGTCTCAGGAAATCAGGCGCCATTTATCGGAGAATCGATTTTCCACTTGTGGCGACCCCGGCAACGTCTTTGGCGAAGTCGCATCAGTTGGCTTTGGCAATTGGCCACCTTGCCGCGACAATGACGGCACAGCGCCGTTGACGGAACGCTGAACAGCGCTGCAAAAAATGACTACGGCGACATTCGGGCAACGTTGGCGCTGGCATCAAAAGCATGCCGACGTTTGATGCATGAGCCTTCCTGCAACGTTGCCCATCAGCGCATGAAAGACCCAGTTGCAGAGGGAGGCATCAGCGATGCAGCTTCATCGTCATGATTTCCAGACGGACACCGCCCTTCAGGCGTGTCATCACAAACCTGTCGGACGAGACCAGGCCGCAAGGGACCCATTCTGAGGGGGAACAACCCTCCAAGCCACGAGGGAGACACCCGCTGATCATGATCAGCGCCACCGGTCGTGCTGGTCATGGCAACATGATCCTGGTATCATGATTAATGGGCCAGAGCTGTCAGCAAGGGCCGCATCTCTGCATGCCTGACCAAGACGCCAACACGCCCACGACGAGCCTGGCGCCGCCCACTTGTCGGATAAAGTATTGTACATCCTGGATGCCGATGCCATGTCCTGGATGCACGCATTCTGGATAGGTCTATATCGTGCCACCATTTCAGGATATGAACGCCCGATATCCTGGATATGCATATCCAGGATGTGGTAGAGGATTCCGGACAAAAATATCCAATTCGATATGCAGGAAATAGGACCTTACGAAAATTTGTTTGCGGCTTCATGGCCATGAAGGAGTATCAGGGCGACTTGGTATGTTTCCGCTAGGAGCATTGCTGCGGCGACCCTGTTTCCCATCAGAAAGGCAAAGGCACCCCATTGCATCGCCAATGTGTCCGCCATTGAGGCATAGTTTCCACTGACAGCTTGTAACCCATGGCGCCACCATGGTTCTGTTCGAATCACCAGTAATTGGCCACTGATCTGCCTTCGTCAATTATTGATTTGTAATCCGATGATTAAATAGTGGCATACGAGAATCTCGTTTCGAGGAATGCCATCAGCAATATCTTTGAATGGCTGTCACCTTTTCTGAACACTGATGTGCGGTGAAACTTAATGAGAAAATTGAATACAGATTAGAGAGCCAGTTTAAAGAGATGAAGGTCTGACACACCAAGGTAGCCGCAGCTGCCATTTGGTGCAAGCAGCTGGTCGTGTGCTGGCAGGCTGATGCACTCGTCGACCTGATTGAGGTGGCGAGAGGACGGCTGCCCAAAGATTAGCTCCAATTTGCTGATTTTGGTGATCGTGAGTTAGTCCTGTGAATTCGAGCTGTGGGTCGCTGCCGTAGCTACCTATAGGCCGATGCTATGGGTCGGTGCTGTGGGGTCGAGTGTTGTGCGTGTGTGAAGTGTGAGATCAGTCTGCCGTTCTGAGTGTGAGTTCTGGTGGGCGGAAAAGAGGCGCATTCTGGTATTTAAAGAGAGCCCGAGACTTGTTCGTAGCTTCTCCTGGTTTGGTTGTAAGACCAGTTGAGTCTTGGCCGCTTGTCCGGCCATGCAAAGCGACTGCTTTTGGGCACCGCGTCCACCAAGATTGCCGCAGAGGTCGAACCAAAACGGTTTGACTTGTGCTGCGTTGTGGCCCATCGCTGCACGCATTCGATTGCGACGATTGCGGCGAACGGGTTCTCGAGCTGGGATGGCCAAGGAACTTCGACAGGTTCCGAGATTCTCGCCATTCATTTGGGCAAGGAACACGACAAAACACGCTGAACGTGGCAATGACGTAAGGTGCCATAAACAACGTTTGTGCAGCACATGTAGGGTTTAAGTTGATACACGCTCAAATTTGAGCGTTTCAAAATGCTGTTTTAAGACAGCATGAGCATCACAGTGACGAGTACTTCCAATTCACCTCAGGCGCTCGTGTACGTCTGGGATTTTGACAATGAGGCACCCACCCGTCACATTGCCAGATTGTTACGAAATAGTAGGACATGCCTACGGCAGGAAAACCGGCTTTTTTGCTCTTAAGAGCGGCTTGACACGGCAAATAAACTTAGTTTGAAGAATGCGTCATGCCTGGCAACTTTGGCCGGGGAAGTTGGAATGAAATCTTTTGTGCGCACTCGGCATGATGACGCAAAGGCGGAAAATTGAATTTGGCCCGATCTCCAGCTCTGGAGCTTGCGAGCGGTCCCAGACGCTAGTAAAAAAGGGACAAATAAGACGTCTTCGAACGTGAACAAAATTTACGGGTTTGGGTTATTTTCGTGCTCTTGGTGCGCAGAACTTTGATGAAATGTGTTTTATATGTGCTCGCAAAGGTGCTATTTGGTCCTTTTCCGGCTAGTGAGACATGCGGGACAGTATCTGTGGGATCGAGAGCTTCACGTTGCAGCTGCAGGCTTGGTCTATTCCGCCTGCACGGCTTTGCAGTTTCGCCCTTTCCACGCATATATAGAACCTGTACACGGCAATATACCTAGCCTCCACAGACTGTCTGTGCATGGAAGCTTCCTTCCAGATAGTTGCTATGGGCTCGAATTCACCAACACAAGCAAATGCGCTAACGCATGGTAACGCACATGTCAACTGCACAGGTATTTCCTTAGAGCACGCGGCGCCATGCTGCATGGCGCTGCGCACTCACAGAGGAGCAAGTGTCTGCAAGTCGCGGCCTTGGCAGCTCAAGACCCGGAATCCAGGCAATTGGTACCTCCCAGATCTTGGAGCCCCCCGGTGCTGCAAACACCGGAAATGGGCGACAATTGCGAACCCGACCTTGTCGCCTGCTCCAACCAATTTGTTGCATTGCCGCAAGCAGTGGTTCAAACGCGGTGCAACGTAGCTCCGCGGAGTGTGCTCGCTCGCCCGAGCTAATTTGCTTGGACCGCACTCCCTGGAGTTTATAGACGAGGCATCCCTCCGCGTTGATGTCGTCCATTCAGACAAAGTACTGTGCCAAGCGCAGTGGCGCCGGATGGGCGCTGCGACATCGTGAGGCTCTCAACGGCCTGGGCGTCGACGCAGATCGCAGCAACTACTCGCGATTCTTGAGGCGGCTATAGAACTTTTTGGGAAAACCGAGACGTCGGGACCCGTCCGAGCCATCTGTCCAGCCCGCTTGGGTCGCCTCCGCGATTGGATGCCGCATGAACTGAGCCGAGGGTGGGGAAGCCATGACTTCCCCGCCCTTGGCTCAGCCGATCAGGTCAACACAGTCACACTATTTGAGGTGGCGTGCCAGCGTGGACGGGCCACCCGGCGTCGGGCGTGGCGTCGGGGCGGCAGCAATACATAAGGCAGTCCATTGGCAAGTTCCCAGTACTGCAGCGTACCGCACACCAGGCTCCTCCAAGGACAGCTACAATTTGCTCGTCCCACGGCTCCGTGCCGACCCCTCATCCCGTTCCTTTCGCCGCGGGCCGAAGAGGAAGCTGGGGGTGGCCGGCTGCGGGTGCGCCCAGGAGGCCGCTGCCAGCAAGGCCGGCAATCTCCGATCCCCATGACGACCTCGGGCATCCAGTCATGTGTGCAAAAACCGTCTGATCGGCGCGGCGTGGAATACGACGGGAATACGGCCCCCGTTCGGCCACCGCACCGTGCGGTTTTATTTTTGTCCCTGCCTATGAGGGCACCCAGTGGCGGGGTCATCAAATTAGGTCACCGTACAGCAGGGGCGCCGGGGAGCCCCACTTTTTGCCCGTGCCCATCGTACCCCCTGGTCTACAATTCCCCCGCCCGGCCACCTGGACGACGCATCAAAGCCGCCGGCACGCACAGACGCAGCCCGCCGTCGGCGCTCGGGGCCTCGGCTGTGTGCACAGTGAGTAGCCGCCGCGCACGCCGCCCCAGCCGCCCGCCACCCGCAAATATCCAGGCAGCCATCAATCCGAGGCAGGCCGTCTGTCCATTGGCGCCGGCGAACGCCGGCCACGGCACGTCGCGGACAGCTCCACGTGTCTCAGCGGCCGGTCGGGGATGTTTTCGACCGCCTCGCGGCCGGGCGGGCGAACGGGAGGGCGGGGTGGGGTGTCTGTTGCGCGGAGAGACGTCGGAATTTGCGGTGGATTGCCGAAAGCGCGCAAGTGGCTATTGTTGGGAGTTGCTGGGGTTGACAGCAGCGGGCCGCGTGGGGGACGCGGACGCTGCGGTTGGTTGCGACGGGTCACAGACGCGGGAGTGGCAGCTGGCGAGGTGCCGGCACCCCGCGGAGATCGCCGCGCGTGGAAGTTTGGAAGATTGGGGTTTGGTTGGCGCGTGGCACGGCGAGTGAGGGGCGGCGGTGCATCCGTGCCCAAATGCTTGGGGATGCATGGGCATTTGCGGGGCGGCGACGCGCTCCGCGACGGTGTCTGAGGGACCGCGGAGGGCCGTCGGGGGCCGGGAGGGACGCCTGCCCGGCGAGAGGACACATGCTCATGGTTTGGCTATCTGCGCAGTGGGCCGCAAGAAGATACGGATTGAGAAGATCCAGGACGAGAGGGCCAGGCAGGTGGGTTGCGGCGAGAGCGTGCGACGCGCGCCGGCGCCCGGTGGCGCGCGGGGTCCTTGGGCATTGCCGCGCGTGCTGGCCCCCCCACCTTTGAAGCAGCTTCTCTGTGGTTGAAGGTGACCTTCACCAAACGCAAGAATGGGCTTATGAAAAAGGCCATGGAGCTGTCCATCCTGTGCGACTGCGAGATCGCGCTGGTGGTGTTCAACTCGAGCGGCAAGCTCTTCGAGTACTCCAGCGGCAGCATAGACGGCACCATCGAGCGCTTCGGCCGCCACAGGGCCGAACCGCACGAGGTCCACGACAACACAGACGTGAGTGGCCGCCGTCGTCGATGCCGCGACACAGTGCCCCCCTCCCCCTCGGCATGGGCGCCCCGCGCTGACGACCCTGCCTTTCTGGCCAGCTTTTCCAGCACTACTTCGCGGAGGAATTGGCCCTGTTCGACGATGACGACTGCGACGGCACGAGACGCCCGGTGAGTCAGGAGGCCCCCCGGGGGCCCCCGCCGGTCTTGCACCTATCCGGACGGCGCTCTGCCGCCAAGCGCCCGGCTCGTTTGCTCGCCGGTTTGGCCACTGGCAGTAGGGATAGGGGTTATGGCGTCCGCAGGGCTCGTAAGGGAGATGCCGAAAATAGGGGCTAAGGGTGGGCGGCCGCGCTGAGGCAGCCGCAGTGCCCGCAGCGTCATGCTGGTCCACATCTTCCACCCAGCCGTCTCGGCGCGTTACTGTCCAATCCCGTGTGGTTCACTGGAGACGGGCATAAGCGGGCGGGTGCGCCATGGGGCCCGGGGCGTACCGCGGCCTGCCAGCTTGCGTCGTGATAATCCCGAGGATCTTGGGTGGGCGGCACCCCCCCCCGCGTGCGTCATTTTGGTTGGAGAGTTGGCGGCTCCCGGTCCGAATCTCGCCGTCCAAAACCATCCAACCGAAAGGGGTGGCCCGGGGGCCGCGTTTATCGGAGCTGGGTGGCGTGAACGGGCGGTGACGCCGAGAACGACTCAACGGTGTCACGAGTTGTAATAATTTTGTCCGCAGGGAGGGAAGGTTCGCAGTGATCCGGCTGTCGTGGACGTCAACCGTCAGCTGAGGTGGGCCCGCGAAACTTTCGGCGACGCCTTCCGGACTTGTAATGCAGCGCTGGGACTCGGCGTGCGCGGTTTGTGGGAGGGAGCGCATAGTCAATACCGTAGGTTTTTAAATCCTTCCGCATCGGAAATTTTACCGTTCGCTTTTTGCTCCGCATTTTGCTTTTCAGAGCGTTAGTTCTGTTACTACAAATTTTATTGAATGAGCGTTACTTATTTGTTTTTTTCTGCAAAAAGGGTAAGCGTTATGGTGCTATGCGGAAGGGTTTGAAACCTACGGTACATTATCGTGGACTAGTGGCATAGTAACATGCCAAAACAAGTGTTAATGGGTACAATTGACGTGACAGTTCTTTCAGTGCATGCATTGTCGCCTTGTCAGATACCGGCAAGTGCTGTATAGCCTATCGCAATGCAGCTGTTGCCTACCCGCCAGCCGCGTTGAGGTGAACTTCGCTGCATCGTACATTGTGCCTCCCCCCTTTCCTCTCTACCTTAAGGCACACAGAACGACAGCTGTGCCGCAGGTACCTCCCTCAACTGCTGTGTGTTCATAAAACCACCATCCAGTTGCGGAATTCATGCTTTTCTTAACTTTGTCTGACATTGCGCAGTGTCAATTTTGAATGCGTAATTGCAATATACAAGTCTGCAGACATGGCACCCATAACTCTGCCACAGGGTCACATCACCACAAATGAGATGTCCGACTGGTGCTGTCTTGTCTTGACAGCAGAGGGGGTGGCAGCACACTGGAGGTCGCTCGCCAACTGGGCTGGACAGTCGAAGATGGCCACCATGCACTGTCCCCAAGAAGCGAGACTGCTCACAAAGCCATCGCTATGGACCTCGAAAAGGTCTTTGGTGTTCTCAAGGCAGGAGACTATGCTGCCGTCTGCAGCTGTCAGAAACTGTGTGTATGCCAAGTCACTTTGCCGCAACCTGTCGTATTCTTAACCATCTTGGTGTGTCCACCACCTTTGCATTGCACGATGGCAAAAAAGAAATTTGACGTTTCACTTCACCCACAACGTCTGCTGCAATACTCTTCATGCTGTGTACATTGTGGCACCGTAGCTTTTTGGCGCACTGCTCACTGAACAGGCTACTATACCAGGGCGAGCGTCCGGTAGCGAAAACACCAGTGCTGCAGTGTTCTGTGGGTGGTTTGGCTGAAACACTTCATTCGCCACTGTTATTGTCTGTGCAGGTTTTGAGACTGATGGCTAGCTTTTGTGACGTTTGTGACAGGCTATTTCAGGATCAAACCAGGCTGGCGACTCTCAAACCAGGGCAGCAGATGTTTCTGGGAGGGGAGAGCACTGCGAAGAAAATGACCAAGATTTGATGCTCGCAGGTGCTGCTCAAGAGCGACTGGCCTTAGTTAGACTTGCCTTCGTTTTGTGTTATGATTTGTCAAAGAGGCACTCTTCAGCTCGACATGAAGGCACAATTTGTCGCTCTTGTTGCAGTCCCGTTTGTGCATTTGGCATATAGTGCTTGTCGTGAAAAGCTGCCTGCTTTTTGTCAGGCAGAGGAAATTTTGAGGGACAGATCATGTCACCCTGGGGTTGAGCGCTAGTTAGCAAGTGTCTTGCAGCCTGGCATACACTTTCCAAAATTCTTACACCGACATCAGGTGCCTGTCCCTGCAGTGTTGCGCACTTTATTGGTGCTTGGCATGTACATGCTCAGCAGATGCGCGTTGCTGCATGAACGCTTGACACAATGCTGGCATGTGCTCAGTATGTCAATTCTGAGTCTTGTTGTGATCTTGGGCATGGTTAGATCCCCCAGACTTAACCATGAGCGTTGCGGTGGGAATGAAAAGGAAGCTGGAGCCTGATGCCCATGGACCTGATAAAGAATCTGCAAAGACAGGTGAATCAGCAGTGGGTTTGGAAGATTCCTTGGCATCGCCGCCTGCTCTGCTGGCACACGTTTATCCAATGTTGTGCACATCGGGTTGGCCGTCCTTCATAACTGTGGTCAAGCGGCTGAAGTTGACTTTTATTCTGTCTGCATGCAGATCATGTTCCTGACAAGGGAGCAACAGCCGTTGCAGGACTCAGAACATCAGCACAGATGGCTGCTGCTCTCCTCAGCAATAGCATGGGCCATTCGCAGGCCATGTCTTCTGACGATTGGAAGACTGTGGTAGCCACCATGCCTGCGCAGCAAGGCAGGAAAGTAGGGAACTATTCCTCAACAGCCAACAGGAGTGGTAAACAAGGACCAAGGGGCTGCAACGCCATGCCAAAAACATGTGCAACTCTGCAACAGGTGTGGGACTTTGAGCAGGGTGCTTAAAGAGATAGGATCTTGTGTCATGTGTTTGCGCATGATGGCATTAGGCCAGCTGCAGGTACTGAATTACAACATTGAACCTGCCAGTGAAGGGCTGGCCATTTTGGAGTTGCCTGGAAATGACGATGGACATGCAAGATTGTCAAAGGCAAACAGATGAACAGTGCGCGCATGCAGGGCAGGTGCAAAGCCCCTTGGGAACCACAACCAGTGGCAATGCATTGGGGTACTATATTGGAATCCAACATGTTGTCCACAGGAAGTGCACAAGCCCTTTCCTGGAACAAGGTAGACTTGGGCAGCATGATGGGGACACACCAAACTTGCGTTCTTTCGTCCCTTTCCTACTGGGGCACAAACTACACTCGCAAATTTCTGGATATGTGTGCATCGGTGTTGATGGCACTCTGAAATTTTTGTCCTGGTGCTGATGCAGTCTTGCACAGAAAAAGCACTGCTGCATGCCATTCGCGCCAGATTCTTGCATACATGTTGTCAGTTTCGCCTTTAGTTACATGTTTTCAGGCCAAGCGTGTGTGTTATTCTGAATTTGCTCTCACCATCTTGCGAATGCCTTGCAGGCGCATGTCCACAGAGGGAACGGTGCGCAACAGCGCCGAACGTGGATGGTTGACAGATCTGCCACCAGCCCTCAGGATGGCCATTCCAACGTCTCGCCTGTGTCCAACCCTACTTCAAACAACAGACTTGAGAGGCATGGAGGCAGGTGTCACACACAAAAAATGCTGGCTTGCAAGCAGGAACTACCATTTGCCATTCCAGCCTCCCAAATGCCAAGGCATATTCTGCCTGTTGTTGGCTACACAGATGGCACAGATGGAACCATGAGCATCCCACAGCTGGGCGCTTGCGATCAGGCGATGGAAACTCATGTTGGAGCAAAAGGCGGGCAAATTCTGACACTTGTCCAAACGCCGCATGGATTCTTTGCTGTGCCTCTCCAGCTGAAAGCAGGCGTGGGACTTGCTGCACAGTGTCAGGAATTGGAGAGGGCAGGCTGTGCTGGGGGTGATCCCGCCGTCCTGGCCTTGCAAGATCTGAACAACGGTGCTGCCTGCCAGCCAACGGTTGAGGGTACTCCTGACAGAGCTATGGGTGGCAACGTGTCCCTAATGACAGCAAACCCGTGTGTGGTTGTGAAGCCCACATCTATACCTGCGCCACAGATTGTGGTTGCATCTCAAGGCTTTCCCCTGGTGCTGACTGAGGATGAGCATGGCAACTCGCAAAACGGTGATGATTTATCCCGATTGAGCCAAACTGAACTGTCCCACGTTGGCAACCTCATCCGACAAATGCAGGTTTCACAGCGGGAGCAGCAGATCAACCTGCCCTGGGCGCCTCGCGATGCTGCCACAGCCGATGGTGCAACGGAAAACCAGGCCTTTTCTGTTGGAGTGACGAATCCAACCGGAGAGCAACAGCTGCAGCGCACTTTGCTTCTGCAGATGGCCTCTGGACGGCCCCGACAGGATGGCGCCTGTAGCTGACCAAACCTCAGGGGAAGCCTTGAACCCATGCAGGTACTGCACACTGACAAACGAATAACCGTGCCATAGGATGAGCAAACTCCAAGCGAGTGAACACAATGGAGGCTGACAGCTTCGCAGCGTAACCCCACCTGCGAATTGCGTGGGAGGGCTGTGAGCGATTTTGAAGAGCAGCAGCAGAGGAGAACGCCGGATAGCGACATCCGCTGCTCCGTTTGTGGGGCGCCTCTGAATGAGACATTGAATTAGCACATTATTATTGAAACAATCTCCAGCTTGTTGGGTGCCACCACTTTGGTGGGCACCGATCCTACACAGTTTGAAGAATGATCAGAAGCTGTTATGGAACCGTGCATCGAATATAGATTTCCTAGAGTTCGGGGGTTGGGTGGCGGTGGGGGATGGAGGGTTTGTAAGGGGCCGATGGTTCATAGCAAGTTGGTGCGCAAGGTGATTTCATTGCAGTACTTACTAGTGTAGCTGAAGCACTTTAGTGGATGTGACCAGTGCCAGTGGTGGCAGCCCTGGCCGCCGAAGTCCACAACGAATGACCATTGATTGTGCTCCACGGGGATCGATGTATAGTAGTCAAACGATTGACCAGGGGTGGCAATTAATCCCCAGCGAGTGGAAAAGAGTGTCAGAAGTGGGAATTAGAGCGGGCTTTGAACCGCATCTCCTTCGGGTCTAGCTGAACGGGACGGCAGGATGTGGGGAAATGGGACCTATGCACCTGGAAGGGCCTTGACTCCCAAGCAAAGCTGCGGTAGCTTTGTCTTGCGCGGTGCAAGCATGTGCACGATTTTGCATTGCTGTGTGCAAATGAGAACGCCCCGCGGGCTTTCCTGCACGGAAGACGCGAATTCCCTGCCTGGCACACGCTCGAGTTCGCTCCGGCTCGCAGCGTTCCAAGCTGAACGCACAAGCTTGACAGGTACTGGGCAATGGCAGCGGCGCATTACTCATCAGACCCTTGCCGACGTGTACGGCCCCAATTTCGGTTTACATCGCTGTCCGCAGTGGATGAAAATCGCCATCCGACCGGAGGGTATGGGTTCTTGGTGCCACTCATGCTTTTTTGTCCATGCTTCGGGTTGGACGACGCGGGCGGCCAGCTTTGCAAAGAATCCTTGGCCCTGTCGTCTCTTACTTATGGCATGTATTGGCCAGCCGAACAGAAGGCAGATGTGGCCACTGTTCCAGCTGCTAGCGTTTCGGCACGTCGAGCGCCTGTTTCAGTATTGGGTTCTTGACCACACGGGTCGTTGACATGGGCACTTCCACCCAATGACAATCCCAGCGTAGCTGCATGCCCAGGGAACCCTGTTGCAGAAAACGGGGGAACATCCCAGGGACGTGCCCTTCGACAACAAATCTGGACGGGGCCGCGTGGATGCCAAAAGGGATCAATGCAGGGGGTGGTGCTGCGGACACGGCTGCCGCAGGGTGAGCACATGGCTCGTGGAGTTGTCTCGTCTCACTCCATCCAGCCGCAACCAGACAGCCAGTCGGCAATCTGCGATTTGCGTCAAGTTGGTTTACAGCAGCGTGGTTGGTATCTGCATGTCCACAGCCGCGTCCTTTGCATAACAGTGCCGGGAGTTGCCTTGTTCTCAGGGCCCCTCTGCGCTGGACGGCCGTGACACGCCGGAACGCTTGCTGGATTGATCCAATTCAGACGCAATGTAGTTGTCACAGTGCGTTCGGCGGGGGTGGCCAGACCCAGCACACTTCTCTGCCGTGCCAGCATGGCCACTGGCAATGGCCGTTGGCCACCATGGCCATGGTGGCCAACGGATATGGCCAATGCCATTGCCGCTTGAGGACGGCCAACAGGTGATTAAAGAATGCGCCACGGCAACACGCCGTAGCGGCACCAAAACAAAATCAAACACCCTGCCAACAACACGGAGAAGTTTGCAGGGCACATCTTCGTCAAGGCGTCCAACACGAATGTTTTGTTCCCTTGCTCAGCACGAGCGCCATGTGGCAGATCGCCCACCCCCAAATAATGGGAATAATAATGAAGGAATTCGTTAAAAAAGGATTCAGCCGAGGCCCTCTGACAATCAGCGGCTCCACAGCCTTCGCATTTGACGAGGCAGCTCATCTAGTCCACCTTTGTCATCTGGTATTCACAAACACACAGGCGCTTAACACTAAATTCCGCCAGCACCCCACGTTAGAATGGGATAAGGCCAGATTTCGCAGTGCTGTGCCGAATAAGTGGATCATGATCATTGCAAAGCACATATGCAGTCAATCCACATGCAACATCAAAAGCATCAACGCCTTGCCGCAGCTCCCCTCAAACTTGCAACAAAATGGGCATCTCTGTATCCCTTATGTGCCAATTCACGCTGCGATGAAGCCCCAAACTTCTATCTTGCTGTCAATGCACTGCATTGTACCCAATGGGAAAGGGCCACCGCTGGACATATGCGACACACTCACGCACATATTAGGATTCTCTTGGAAAATTTGCTGCAGATCACTGTGAGGCAAAACTTAGCGCATAAAATGAACGTACCATAGCATTGGGGAAGATGCACGGCTCCTTGCCCCTTGTAGCCTGTATGAACACCACACAATCACTGGTGAATACGCTATCAATGAACTAACAGTGGCAACATTCCGTTCACCAGCTGACCAATAAGAATGCTCAAATGCACATTATGCAAATCTTGAGATGGGATATGGCATGTCCTGTTTAGACTTATGCAACTGGATAAACCAGCAAGCACACAAACGCAAAAAAACATAACAGATGCCTCTCCAATTGTCACCTGAAACACAATGCATCTTGTACCGAATCTTGCAGTGCTTGGCAGCCAGTGAAGCACCTCTAGTAGAAGCGCTGTTACTACTGATGTGCAGAAGGACAGCAACCACAAAAACATGGGCCTGCTGCACTAGCTGATGTGAGGACTAGCACATGCCCTCTACTGGGCAACATACTACAAACGATGTTCTGAAACCATATGCTCCAGTGTCACAAATGTAAAACTATGTGGTCAAAAACAAGAGATCACACTGAAGACGGAAGGAAATCTAGATTGAGCAGTTCCTTCCTCCTGCTGCTACGTGAAGTTTGCATTAAAAATGGACTAAAGTTGGCCCCATTGACACCATGGTTGACATTTCTAAGTTAGCTGCCCGACGAAGTAATCAGGCAGTGTGCCCCGCAGCATACCCGTCGAATGAAGTGGTCGTAGTGGCTGCTCCCCACTGCTACGTCCTTCTCAGTGTCAGGAAAGTGGTGCTTGCGGCTGTCCTTCCAGAACCTGGCCAAAGTGCAAATGTGAAGAATTTCAATATTCTCCATGCCTGCTGCCACAGCCTTCCCCTGTGCACACCAGATTTGGCAAGCAATGCACTGGCAGGCACTGCACACGAGCCAGCACTATGGAAAAGGCAGTATTTACCCACTGCATCTTACACAGTGTGGCGCTTCCTCAGGGCAAAAGAGATGTCTTCGCAATCCACACATTTTGCCCACGGCCCCAAACACAGGACAATAACTTGCAGTGCCTGGGTGCGGCAGGACAAATGTTTCTCGTTAAGGCCATGCTTTGCCACATTCCCCGCTGTCACGGGACCTGTCGCGGACAGACTCCACCAAAGTAAGTCCGAACATGCTCAACGCGCCCCCCTTCCAGGAGGCCATCTCAGTCGACGACCGCCTGTCACTGCGGTCGCAACGTCCGACCTGAGGTGGCCCCAGCCCAAACGCACGGCTCTGCAGAGCCGTCCCTCGCGCACAAGCACAACAGCAGCGGAGGCACAAACGCCAGCCAGATGATCATGCACCTCAGGGGAGCTTAATCTTCCGCGCCCATCCTCCCACCGTCCCCCCAGATTTCCAATGGCCCCAAGCCGCGCCTCGCGCAGCTGAACGACACCCAGACCGACACTACGCACGGCACCCACCCCGATCTGTCCACGCCCGTTCCGTCCCCGCACTAGCCCACCACCAACGAGCCCTAAAGTCAGGACATCTGACGACAAACAGGTCCGCGGAGGTTCGCACATTCGCTGCCTCAGCGCACAAGGACGGCAGGCGGCCCCAGAGACGCTCGCAAGCGGGGCACCCACCTCATGTCGGGGTCGGAGCTGATGGTGCGGCCGATCATGCCGAAGAACGCGGCGGTGGCGCCTCCCACGAAGAAGTACAGGGGGTAGGCCTGGCGGCGCGAGAAAAAAGCGGTCAGCATGACGCCTGGGGCGGCGACTCGGGGAGCGGACACGGGGCTCTCGAAACGCCCAACATCGGCGCCGAGGTGCCCACCTCAGACACGATCCACCGGGACAGCCCCGTCCTCGCCGCTCCCGCCATGCTTGCTCTGGTTCCGGGAGTGAGTCGCGCCAAGAGTCCTGCAGGCACGGCAGCAGCGGGGGCGGGCGCCGAGGCGGGCGTCGAGGCGGTTGGGGGAGTCGGCGACTTGCGGATCGGTGGCAGGGTACCCCAGGCCCCCCACACTTATACCCGAGCCCGGCTGGCAAAAGTTGGTGGACGGCTGATGCCATTGAAAGGCGGGTGCGAGAATTTGACACGTCCGCTGACGGCCGTGACCGCACAAATCGCGCCGGGGCAGTTCTACGGCAAAACTCACCGTCAGTTTCGGTGCTGGATCGGGTCCAGCTGGGCGCCCTTTTCGCCGCGCCCTGCGCCCGGGGCGCCGCAGACGATGCCCCTCTTGGGCGCCAACGCCGGTCGTTGCACGCCGCACGGTCAACGGACGAGGCCATGCACCTTTGCCACCCACACAGGCGACGGGACATCGACTGACCCATCGCAAATGTCTCCCATCCGGGGCCCAACGCGCAGCCCCTGCCGGCCCTTCTGCGCTTCGCCGTCTAAAGCTCCCGCCCGGCAGCGCAGCGGCCGCCCAGCGGCAGCGGGAGCCTCATACTTGAGACAATGCGGCATTGGGGTCCGCGAGAAATGCAAGCCATTTTGCCACGGACGCGGATGTGCACAAGTAACCAGCGCCGCTCAAGCCGCCTTGCCAGCCGGGGACCCCACGCACGCCGTGCCTGCGAAGTTCTTCGCGTCCGCTGCCTGGCCCGTGGTTGGCAGGGGGCTGGCGGAGATTGCCTTCAGCTTTGCGCTGGCAGCAGCGGTGATCTGGGTCATTGAGCGCCTGCAAAGTGTGAACACGGAGGTGGGTAGCGGGCTTGTGCACAAAAGGCTGAAAGAAAGCAAAGATTCTTGCGGGCAGTTGCAGCTGGCAACCGCCACGTCTCCAGTGGATGCTGGTGAAAGATTGCTAGTGAAAAGGACGTGCTGCTTTTGCCCTCACAGAGTATCTGGGCAGGAGAGGCCCCCCTTGGCGCTCAGGCAAGGGGCGTGGCAGGAAGGAAGCCCCTCCGGCTTTTGAAATACGTGTTCAAGAATGCAGCCACTCCAATATCCTGGTTCCTCTGGGTTGGTGCCACGGTGCACTCGTTCCGTGTGGCAGCATCAGTTCTTGACAATCTGCACCATATGTGCCGCACCTGCACTGGAATACCATTGTCATGGGGTAAGCTGACACGTTAACAGCGGTCTGCCTGTGTCAATAGGGTCACACGCAGTGAGTCATAATTGCTCATGCAGCATCCTGCGATTGTAATGTGCAGTTGCCCTGTTCCTTGTGTTCCCAGCTATGCTTCCCAGCAGACACACCTGACCACCAGTGGAACTGTTTCTTCATCAGTTCAAGTTGTCGTCCACGCAACTTGCTGGCACAAAGCTGCTGTCAGAATCCATTTGTCAGTTGGCTGTTGTGCACCCTTTGGCCCACCAATTGCCAAGGTGGTGTATGATGACCAACTTCTCGATTTCCTGGCCAACTGCACGTACACTCCAGACCTCCAGCACCACACTGTGCTCCATCCCACCCCAACCTTCCTTCGGTGCATGCTTGCCTGTGTTGAGGTTCACCATTCTGCAACCCAGTACATTGTAACAGGCGGTTGCCAAGTTGGAGCCCTTTTCTTGTTGGCTCCACGTGCGCCATGCTGCTACCCTTACCTTGTGTTCCCTCTGTATTTCACAGATGACACCCTGCATAAGTCCATCGCTGCCCTCCATGCCTTGGACAACGGCGCACTGAAGGTCATGGAATTTTTGGTGATCATTCTTGGGTACGGCACTGTTGTTGTTTGCACATGAGAGCTTGTGCTTAAGAGTGAATTTGCCATTTCTGTGCTGTTTGGCTGCAGCTCGTCTTGTGCCATTGCTGACAGCTAACTGCATTGCATGTGATCCAGCGTTTGGGTGATCGTTGGCTTGAAGGATTTGTACATCAGCACACTGGTGCAGCAAACTCAGGTGTCCGAAACTCCGAGACAGCTTCAAGACATGAGGAGAATGATCGTGCCACTGAACAAATTGACCTCTTGGGTAAGATCGAAACTAATGATGCAACCGTGATGATTCAAAGTCCAATTGTCCAGAATGGATCAGATTATTACGGGCTTTGTGTACTTTGCTATCAATTTCTGAATGTGTGAGGGGGTTTCTGCACATCTACTTCTTTCAGGCAGATGGCTGTAGGCTGTCTTCGACGGCACAGCTGAGCAACGTCCAACAGCAGCCTGTACCGTTCTCTCAAAGGCAGCGCTTCATTTGCAAAGCATGGTTGCTTGTGCTTTGCATTCACTTTGAGCCATATGCCCTTGTCACTGCGTCTGGCTGCTGCTGTGGCAACATGGCCTGGTCTTGGCTGTGCACTGCCCAGTCATGTTTTGGGAAAGTTGGAAGCAGGAAATCGGCTGTATGGTGTTGTTTGCCTGTGGTCTTGCTGAATGGTGGATCAGCACACTGTGGCGTACGCTCTTGCACCTATGTTGATGACCAAGAAAGTGACCATGTTCTATTGTAACTGCCCATCCAGAATCAAGCCAATTTACTACAAGGCACATTTTACAAGAAGAAAGATGAATGGCAAGGTGTCCTATTGGCAAAAGGTGTGGAAGGTCTGACACACTGTCCTGCTGCAGCTCCTCATCGGGTTTGGCATTGTGATGGCGCTTCAAGTGTTTGGTGTCAACATTCAGCCCTTCCTGACTGTTGGTGGAGTCAGCGGCCTGGTGGTTGGGCTGTCTGCACAGTCAGTTCTTGCCAACCTGATCTCAGGCATCAACCTGGTAAGGAAGACTGATTGCTTCACCCAGCAGTGCGAAGATCTCAATTCAACAAGCAAGGGATCCGGGATGTTGCCCATAACTTGTGGCTAGTTGAAATAACAAAGCCACGACATAGCCAAGTTGCGCAGTTGTCTGTCTACGGTGTCAATGTTTTGTGCACTGCAATTGTTGTCCCTTACATTGGCTGACTGCTGCCACATTGGCTTGGGATGCTGTGCTCAACAGTCTACTTCGGGGACCTCAACCTGCCATACGTGCTCAGGTGGTGTGCATGTGTGTGTGTGTGTGTGTCTGTGTTTGTGTCTGCAGTTTTTGTCACGCCCATTTGTGATAGGTGACAGAGTGGAGGTGTTTGCAACCAATGGAAACCGCTTTCTCAGTGGTGTGATCAGTGACATCAACCCCTTGCGCACCTATATCCAAACAGACCAGCTCTACCCGGTGATGGTACCGAACAAGGTGGGACCATGAGGTGCGCTGTCGCATGGACCACTGCAGCCCCATTGCACCGTTGACTTGTTTGCCATCACCTGCGCTGCTGGCAACGCAATATTGCACTGCACTACTTGGGGTCTTCCTAACGCTTTCATGTTGCTGAAGCCAAAGTGCCATGCATGCCAATTGGGATCTGTTTGTGGGAAATGTTTCCATCGTAGCAGATCAACTCTTGTCCTTGAAGTTCTATTGCGACTGAAGAATGCCAATATCTGTTTTCAGTTGTGGTGCCACTGGGCACAGTTCTGTTTGCTTTGAAGGGATTTCCACAATTGACAGTGATGTAATGCAGCCACATGTGAACGAGCTGCAAGTGTCCTGGATGCAGGCATGTGGCAACTGGAGCAAATGCTTGTGCCAAACAATGACATGACTGTGGTGCTGAAAGCAGTCGCCATGTTCAGGTTCTGACAGAGTTGGTTGTTGGAAATGAGTCTCGAGGGGATGGCATGCAATCCAGCCGTGAGACTGGAGGACGAAGAGTGGCCTTTGGTGTCACCATGAGTTATGACCATTTCCATCGGGTATGTTCATACCATCAATCAACTCTGTTGATTTCCATTCTTGTCTGAAGCGTAATCCACCCTGCAGGTCATTGCCTGGCCTCTCTTGTATGCACTCCATTTGTCAAGGCCAGGTTGTGTGTGCCACTTTGGTTCCTTGCATCAGTGACCATGAAGTATCTCAAAGTGCTGATGCCTAATTGGCCGATGTTGTGCCATCTTGTGTGGGAGTGGGGCTTTGTGGGCTGGCAGCTGCCGGCAGCAATAAACGTGTCAGTGTGGTGGTGGCTGGTGGTGGCTCCATCACCAACCATCCACCTGCAGTGCCCTCCTCGTGAAGAGGGCAACAGTTTGTCCATGATGTACAGTGCACTTATGGAACATATAGGTCGACGGCATACATCCAGCATTGCGACCTTGTTTGTGGGCCATACATCCGCACCATCCAATTGTTCGTGCTTGAGCTGGTAACAATACTTGGTGCCATTGTCATGAGCTGTTGTACTGTGGTATATTCAACCCTTCCGCATTTTAAGATTTCAAAGTTACGGTTTTGTTACGCGTTTTCTTGGCAGACCGTTACCTGGGGGGCTTCCGCATCACGGTCACAGCCGCAATGGCGACTTTGCTCAACTCACATGGCCTCAAGGCCGTGTTCTTTTTCTTTTGCCGCATCGACTCCTGCATCCAGGGCAGCTAGGCGCCACGAACACTCCAGCGACCCTCGCATCGCGACTGGGCTGCTCCACATTTCTCGGAACTGCTACACTTGATTACTGCTCCGCATAAAAAAAGCCAGACGTTACGTTACAGTGCAGAAGAGTATAATATAGGCCGGCACCGCTACCACAGGGGTGATGTGACGGCTGGCTGCGTATGCATACGGTCCTCCCCCTTACCAATGCCATTGCAGGTTCTAATATTGGCGCCACATTCCAACCTGCGGTTGCACGACTCATGCAGACGCGGAGGCGCCAGGGGTCCTATCGGTACAGTGATGATGCGATCGCAGGTTGGGATATGACAACGTTGCTTGGGAAATCCTCCTGCGCGGTGCGCTTGGATTCTGAACTTGTTGTCAGTGTGATGCACATGTCTGGCGCTGACATTCGTTCCCCATGTGGGGCTGGTGGGTCATTCAAGATCGAAGACGTGGTTGCCGCCCTCAAGAATCTTCTCGACACCGTCGATGGAGTGGACAAGAAAGTCCCTCCAAGCGTGGCTCTGTCTGGGCTCAAGGATGGTACTATCTCGCTGGAATTGCAGGTGACGGTGCTACCTTGTCCTTTTGTTTGGGATGGGTTTGTGTCCCGGAGGCGTACTGCAGCACAGTAGGTTGTGCCTTTCTCATGTGTTCCAACAGCCCCAATTCCGGTGACGATTGGAACGTGTGCAATGTGGCTTCCTGCAACGATTCTCTACCTCTGATGTTCACCTCGCAGTATTGCTGGTTTGCGTGTAGTTTGCCTGTGTTTCATTGTAGGGATCGACATTCTCATCGGACATGAATGCTGAACTACGACAAATGTTGGAGTTTAACCACTCCAATAGTGTTGATTATCGGGAGGCCGTGTTGTGCATTGTTGGCGGCCTGGTTGCTGAGATGGTGCATTCTTGTGCTACGCATTCACAGATGATGACCCATAAGGATGGCGGGTGTGTGAACACATTCAGACTACGGCTGCTACGTTGCATAGACAACACTCTCAAAGAAGCGGGAGTGGAGGGAGCAAAGCTGGCAATGTGATAGCACTGTTGAAAGACCTCAGTCCTCCACAAGACGGACTCACAGTTCTATTAGGTCCATAGGCTGACTTGCACAAATGTGGTCCATCATCCTACTCAGCATCCATCAGCTGAGACATCACTCCAGGGTGCAGCGCTTCCTGTAGCGGGGGAATCACTTGTGTGACCGAAAGTTGACCTACTACGGCATTCGAGCTTGCCACGGGTTCCGCATCAGTGGGCTAAACATCTGATGTCCGATGTCAGAACAGTGTCCTCCACAACTCAGCTACATGGTGCACCCGTCCAATTGTCCGCATGAATGCGCCGTCACGCTTGACGACAACCGGCGGAATGCGCGTGTTGCGACGCAAATGAGATCGTGAACGGAACACATGGTTCCGGGCAGTTGGCACGATTGGGCAACGCCGCGAGCGATGTGACTTTGCACAAACAGGTGCCCTTGAGGTTGCCAGCCAGACAAGCCCTGGCCGAGTCGAATTGGTACAGACCCGGATTCATTTGGGTCACACCCTGCAACCGTGGTCGCCTTCATGTCAAGCTGTCGGCAACTCGTGTGTAATATGGCGCCGCCCAGGGCTCGTCGCTCGAGTCTTCTGCTTCTGCACGGCTGTCGGCCCTAATCACAACTTCTGATTCACAAGTGCTCCCAACCTGGCGGTCAACTGTCCCCTTGCAAACATATGCACTCTTGCATGCATGCCCTTGGCGGCACAGCCGTATTGCTCGTGATCCAGGTTGCACTATGAGGAGGCCTTCGGCCCTGCTCATGCACCCTTTCTCTGTGGGCAGGCTGGTCCGACAACATGGACATCCAGCAGCTTGCTATTTCAAACGCCCTGCTTCCATTTTTTGTAAAGCCCGTCATCAACCTGCACGCACCACGTCCGCACCACGGCTCCCCAATGACTGGATGTCCCACACTGAGCATTCAGGCTGACGGCGCTTCCTGGCACGTCGTTCATGGACGCAGTGCAGGCGTTGGACTGGCACAAGATTTCTTCAAGCACTGACGATCCACCTAAATTGAAGGCCAACACACAGCGTTCCTCTGGCGCACAGCACGCTTCTGCCCATCTCAATCAAACCGGGATGATGAGCACGTGCACGAATGAGCAACAAGCTTCGACAATTTACATTCGCCACGAACCAGGAGTCCAGAAGAGGCATCCAAGCAGCGATTGAGGACGGGGGCTGGGCCACTGCCAGGTTTCCTTTGTGCCACGTTCAACCTCAAGGCGCGCCAAAATCATGGGCTGCACAGCACCAGCGCCCAAGCCTGCACAATCTCGGCCACATTTCGGCGTCCATCATGTGGTCCTATACGGTGGCCGTGGCCCCAGTCCGCAACGTGGAAGAAAAGGAATCTCAGCGTTCTGAGTTACAAGGAGGCAGACGGCGGGATCAGGCCGCCCTCTGCCTCTTTGCCAACGTATGGCTTATCAGATACCACCTCTTCTTCCTTGGGCTCCGGAATCTTGACGACGTCAGGAAGCTGTCTCTTGGGACCCGCCTTCCCTGTGGGGTCATGATCCTTCATGATTTTCACCTTCGCAGCAAGGGTGCAAGGCGTCAGCCGCACAGCCCCGATCAGAGCATTCCAGCACCAACCACCGCCATCGCTGCAATGGTTCAAAAACGCAAAAGCCATTAACAGTGACACTTATGCTGCTTCGCTAAACCACAAGGGAACACTGGCGAAGTATGAGGAGGATGGGAACAGCTCCTCTTGCTGTGTGCGATGGTTCTGACTGCCCTTGTCCAATTGCGGGCCTTTGTGCTTCTCAAGAACAAGTGTCCCAACTTTTCCATTTGCTAAATTAACGGGACCATAGCGGGGGGATAATCGTGGCTACTCCCACCTTGATCCCAAGCACTCCTTGCCGCAAGAGCACATGGCGCACTGCTGAGTCGACGTATTCCCTTGTGGGGTCACCAGCAGAGACCATGTAGCCGTCTTTGAACTTCATGGCCTTGGCGCGTTGGGCTCGGAGCTTCCCAGACACGATGACCTCGCAACCCTTGGCCCCACTCTCCATCACAAACTTGAGCACACCATAGCAGGCCCTGTTGATGAAGCACAAACACAAATTAACACACATAACTGCGAAAGTATGCATTGGCGCAAACTCCCTTTTCATCTCTTCAGCTGTCTTCTCTTCAATTTTGTCACTATCAGATCTTTCAGGGCATGCCATGGTAATCAGTGGCTTGAAAACGAGTGTCAAAATCACGGTGCGGTCTCAGCACAGAGACTGTGGTTCACCACATGCACACTTGTGGAACTCAAACCTTAGCGGAGATGCAGTGGACAGATAGCATACCAGTATTGGCAGAAGAGGAGTATTTCCTGCCTGGTTAGCAGCTGTTGGCTGAGATGGACACATATAGGGACAGTTGGATCTGTCCGCTGAGTTTTACGACTTGACAGCTGGCAGCAACATTCAATGGGTGGATTCTGTTCTGCACAGCATTAATTCTGCAAAGGAATTATGTTGCCTCATCCACTCACAATGGACAATAGTCAGTCGGATAGTGACAGTGCACATATCAAGCCAGCTCCAAACTAGCAAGGGTCACAAAGGGCTCCTCCCATTCAACACCAGTTGTACGAGCAGGCAGGCCCGCAGTAGGGATATTGTTGTTGTGGCCAAACAGTGGATGGTAATCCACAAAATCCTCAAATCCACAACGCCAAAAATACCTGCGAACAGCGAGGCCACCCAACAGCTTGTATCTGAGCGACTCAGCCTGAGCAATGGCACACAGGCCCCGGTTCTCAACCCTCTCAGCATACAGCTCCACACTGCCCTGGGAGAACTCGAACCGCTTTTGGACCACAGACGTCAACTCCCTGATCCTCCGGCCATGTTCTCCTGCAACATTGACAACAGGGGCTTCAACAGGCAATTCGCTCCTGCTGTCAGATTTGCCTGGACAGAAAAATCACTTGTCCTGGCAGAGTATAGGCGTGGAGGTGCCCCTTGGAAGGCAAGATCCGACTTCCAAGGCCATTCTTGATGGCTGCAGCACCCAGCACGATTTCCCTGGATTGTGTTGCCCAAGCGCACGAGCACACCGTCCCTCAGTTCACAGAAACGAGTTCTTCCGCGCGTACCGAGCACGTTCTGTGTTCTGGTTGCACGAATGATGATCTCTGTGCGCATTGGGGTGACACGCACTTCCACGCCTGAGTAGCCATCCTCCGCAAGCTCCCGAGTCAGCAGTTCGTTAAGCTCCGCGTAGAAGACGCCGTCAGCAACAAACTGCACCGCGCAAGACACAACAAGAATGTCTGATCTTTGCCATTTGCTGCCACAGGAGTGGACGAGGGCGACCTACAAGCCCTGAACGTCAATCGCATACCGACAGGGCATGCTGCACGGGCCTTGCAGGAGCTCTAGAGTGCTCGTAGAAACGACAAATATGGTGTACTTTAGTTCCGGGTCTGGTCAACCACAAGCAGTGCATAAAAGGACCCTTGCAGGAGAATGTGCATGGTGGGCCAGGAGAGACGGATGCTGGGCACAGTCAAGCTGCGGTGGGCCAGGTGCTGTGGATTCGGCGCTCCCACCACCCCACCTTTCGCTTCTTGCTCTTCTGCGTCGACATCGTGGCCGTGTGAAGCCTTGGTCGTGAACCACAGCGACCTGGTCCACACCCTTGAGCAGCCGCCGCGACGTGTGCGCGTTGAGCACACTGGTTGGGGTAACATTTCAGTGCTGTTTAATGTACATCAGGCTTTGGTCAAAAAATCACCCCACCTGGAGTAAGGAAACAGAGTCACGGGCCTCGAGAGTGATCGTGTGGGGATTTGCGAGACGAGGTTGCCAACTCCATGCCTGCGAGCGGGGGGGGAGGGGGGGGGCAGCAAGGCTTTACACGGAATGTGATCTCTGTGCAGCATGGAATCTCTGTACAGAATGTGTCGTAATCTCTGTACGGAGTGTCCACAGGGCAAAATAGGAATCTCTATACATACTGCGACCACAGTGGGATATGGTGAAGGCGTCTTCTCATCGATAGTCATGTAGGTGATTGCGGCCCCACCTGGCATTTCGTGGCAAACTAACCACGCTACCCTTGAATTGTAATTGTTGGGCGGTTTACTGTAGGGAACTTAGTTCCTAACTTTGGGCCGCTGTGAGATCTGAAGTGCGAACTTTTTGCAACCCAACAAACCCCGACATGCCCGCCGCAAAACGAAACCAACTAGAGTAACCAAAAGAACTCAGCAGAGAATATATTTAATATACTTTGACTGATAGTCCCCGCTTCTTTTTCTTGAAGATCCCTTCTTCTGTTGACAAGGCCAACGTGCGTTTGTGGGTCAGTGGATTAGGGTTTTGCAAAGAACGGCGGTCCATTCTGGCCGTCGTCCCTGGAGATAGCGCAGTAAAATCGCCCTCAGACGGGCAGCTGAGACATGTCGACAGCCTCAGCACCACAGCAGTTGAGGGTGCACTCAACGAACAAGCTTCGCCCCTCGCGCGAACCGGCGCTTCACGAAGAACTGCTTGGCATGCCGACACGACCAACAAGATTGAGGCGACGGCAAGGAGAAGCTTCAAACGGGTGGCAAAACCCCCAACTGCCAGCCAGCCATGCAAATACGCTTGTAGCGCCTCTCACAGCTGCCGCTATGAGTGCCGCAATCGGTCGCAACCGCTCCTCAACGGTCGACGAAGTCAAAACGGAGGTCGGATCCGCGGGTCAGGGCTGCCTCGTCTACTGCACATCGGCGTATGATACGGGAAGCACTTCAGTCCGCCTCGACAAGGCTGTGCAGCGACGAAGGGTGCTCACTTCTGCAGCAAAACCGGGCTGGCACTGCTGGTCTTGAGCGGCGAGGAAAGCGGCTCAGAAAAGGCACAGACTGGCCGCGACCTTCGAAAAGGTCGAGCGCTATTGCGCTCAGGCTGTGGCGAACATCGCGCACAGGGCCAGGGGAGTCAGGCAGCCAGGCCGAGCGCCTAAACCGCCGCGCGAGACACACATGGACCCCACACAAACGCTGTTACAATTCAGAGTTCCCCTTCGTGCTGTCCGCACCCCTCCGGCAAAAGTACCACCCATGCCTAAGAGATGCTCTTTTGATACCCAGAATCTTTCTGACACGCCCGCCGCTTCACCACAACTCAACCCAGGACGCCCCACTGGCCACAATCAGCCACCACGTGTGCCCCAAGGGCCACATTCTCACCAAACAACCACACTTCCCGTGGTCAGCAACCATGTAATGCCCCACGGGGCATATTCCCATCAAACAACCATGTGGCGCCTCAATGCGCCACTCCTGGATCCGTCTCGCCACAATTCACGGCTGGCCGCTAGCCGGGCTGCCCCTGAACAAATGCACATGTCCAGTGGCAACTTGGGTGTTCCTTAGTACTCCAGGGCGTATTTGGGGTATGTATAGAGCACCCCTGACTGATGTTTTGGGGTTTCTGCCTCATTGAGCGCCAGCCTACTGGACGATTTTCAGTATGGCGAAGGTGTTGAGGCTGTCGACATCCCCTCTGCACCATATCTGGACCTCATGGGTCGCCAGCTGCGTGATATCATTTATGCACTAACGTTTTTGATGAACCCCATTAATTGGCGACCCGAACAGGTTTAGGGTGTCAAAACAAGAACCAACCATCACAGAAAAGACAGAGGGACTTGTTTCATGCCAATTCAGGACACGATATTCACCTCAGCACGAAAGTGCCGCGTCATGAGTTGCCGTCCGAATGGTCCACAGGCGCTGGTGAAGTAATGTATTGCAATGTGCAACGACACATGTCCAGCACAGCCGCGTATCTTCGTTCTCATCTGCTCCCCCTTGACCTTGGCGGTCAATTTCAGTTGTGTTGTCCGAACAAAGACCACCGTCGTTGCGAATCGCCAAGGCCGGGGATGCCGCCCCTGCGATACCAGAACCCAACGAGTACCAGACCAGGTCTGGGCTGCGACGTCCTGACCGGGTGCCGGCCATTTCGTCTAAGGACAACTCGTCTAACGAACAAGTGGTCTAAGGACATTATGTCTAATGGATAGCTCGTCTAAAATTCCGTTGACCGGAGTTGACTTGCTCATATCCACATCGCACCTGCAGCCGGTGACCTGAGGGCCCTCACCCGTTCAGCGCATTCCCCTAAACCCAAAAAACTACTCACTCACATCCGCATTCCAGCTCAAGACGGTGACCCGAGGGCCCTCACCCCTTGAACGCGTTCCCCTAAACCCAAAAAACAACTCACTCACATCCGCATTCCAACTCAAGCTGGTGCACCGAAATGGTATGTTGTACGTTCTTGTGGTGATAAAACAAAAACAAAAGCTTGCGCATTGATGCTCGTGAGCGTCGAGCTTCAACGCCCTTTGTCCACGAATCAATTCCCATTGTGGACTAGGGTCGCGTTAGCCCGCCTCTCCCGTCATTCCGCCTTCATGCCTCGGAGGATTTGCTTGCTCCCTCGCTGCCAATCGGCGCTGCCATTCGGTTGCCTCTCCCGTCGATCCACCTTCGTGGCTTGGAGAATCTCCGTGCTCCATATCTGCCAGTCGACTCTCCCTTTCGCCACCCTCTACCGTCGATCAGTTTTCGCGCCTTGGAGGATCTGCTGGCTTCATCGCTGTCAATCGACGCTGACATTCGGCTACCTCTCCCGTCGATCCACCTCCGCGCCTTGTAGAATATCCGCTTTCCATAGCTGCCAATCGACGCCCCACGCTACGCCAAACCGCGCCACACCCGCCAGCCACGCGCCTGGATCGGCACTCGTCCTCCCGTGCTGTCCCGCCCCCTGTGCGCGCGTCATGAACGCTCCCAGGAACCAGTTCGGAATGCGGCCCGCCACAAACGGAATGAAATGTAATTGTAGGTTAATGCAGTTGATGGGCGCTGTTTAGACGAGTTTACTCAACTCGTCTAAGGACAACCCGTCTAACGCAAAGACAGAGTCAACGTTGCAATTGTCATCATCATCATCATGATTTTTTACAGAACAAGGCAATGAGGTAGCCGTCAGCTTCCTATTTTGCCTGAGCAAAGCAGTGTCGGTGCAACGTTGCAATTGACTTCACCATAGGGAAGCTGAATACACGCAACGGCTTTGAAAACGAGTGGCATTCTGAACAGAGAGGTTTGTGTCATTGGCACACAACCAAGTCGTGGCCCCGTTTAGGGTGGATCGCTCGTTAGACAAGTTGCCCTTAGACCAAATGTCCTCAGTCCACTTGTCCGTTAGACAAGTTGTCTTTAGACGAATGGGCGGGACACCGTCCAGACTCACCCAGGATTGTCTCGGAGGTGAGTTTGGGCCAGTTGTTGGGTGGAAGGGTACTTAAGGGGTTGGACTACCCTCTTCCTTGCCCCTGCCCCGGTGGTTTGATAGAGCAGTGGGACGCCCACCCAGAGGTACCCGGTTAGACATCCTCTTCACCGTCCGCACTAAAACACCAGTGGGTTGAATTCGGACGTCACGGCCCGTACCCTATTGCACATCGTCAATGGCCGTCACCCAACCGACCAACATGCCCGCACGCCAATGTCTTCAGTCCGCAACACGGGTGCCCATAAGGTCAGCACGTTGTGCCGTTTTCCGAGTTTCAGCGTGGCAGTCGGCACTACCTGGGGAGTGACTAGCGCGTTGCTGCAGGTCCGCGCACCCGATTGTCGCTTTGTCGCCTAGCTGCAGCGCATGGGCATCGGCGAGTCTGCTGTTGCTGTTCGCTTCCCGTGTTCCCTAAGGGCCGCGAATGCCAACCGCTGTTGGCCCACTGCTGACTACGTCTGAAACCGACCGCTGGCCCACTGAAAGCTGCCCTCGCGATTCGACCTTCGCAAAGACGACATTCACGCCAGAAAAGGAGTTCTTCTGCGGATCACGTGCCGCGAAAGCTGTCGGGTTCAATCTTCCCAGCAGTAGACGCTCACGTGGGCGCGAGACACAGTGCTGCGAGTGATCGCCCTCCGCTTGGCCTAGCCCTCACCGCGATAGCGTGCAGCAACTTGAGGAAAAGGCTGGGGGCGGATGGTATGGTAACGGTGTGCTGCAAGCGCATTTACCCAAAGCCCAAGCGTCCAACGGCTGTGTTGCTGAGAAGCCTTGGTACAACTTTCCGGTCGAGCAGCTTAATTCTCCTGCGGCGCTGCCCTTCCAGTCCCAGTAAATTTGTGTCTCTCCCGTGCATGGCGCCACCCGCCATACACAGCAATTAACTTGTGCTGGGTGGATGGTGCGCTCGCGTTTCGGCGAGGAAGAGTCGGCCGCAGTCGCAACATCGCACAGAAACTTTTCTGCTGTACAAGCCAATATGGATGATGATGCTTTGCTGAATGCTGCGTTCATGTCACCTCAACAGCTGAGACCTGCCCAGTTCGTGCCGTACTTGTGTTCCGGCTGCAGCACACTTGAACCCAAATGCATCTGTGTAGTCATCCTGTTTGAAGGCTGGCATATCTTTTTGAAGCTTAGCCACAAGTGTTGAGACACATGTCTGGTTGAGATCCATGCTGTTCCAACAATCATTTTACAGCCATGCAAACCAACTGTCACTGTCATCTTCAATCATTTCATCTATATGTAGAGTTCCTGTTTTTCTCCAACTTCGAATGTAAGAGT